CTGGTCGCTGCATCTCCTTCACATTATTTAAAAAAAAAAAATCAAAGCCGTGTGTATGTGTGTGTGTGTGTGTGTGTGTGTGGATTTTCGGGTGCCTGAATGGGGGGCATCTCTGGGACTCAGTGTCCAGGTGTGAGAGCTGCCCCTGCCCCTCCCCAGACCCCCACCCCAAGAAGTGACAACCTCCAGATGGAGCCACCAGGGAGGGGATGTGCCACCAACCGCTCATTTCCCTGATAAGTCTTTGAAAGGCTCAGAACTAATTTGAAAATGTGGCCATTAAAATCCCATCAGGGGAGGTGGTGTTGGTGGGGAGAGGGAGAGAGGCAGGTGGGGCCTGTCCTCAAGGCTGGGCGCTGGCCAAGGTGGGTACCTAGGCCTGAGGTGCGGTATGGGCAGGTGGGCCGGGCAGGCGGGAGGAGAGACGGGACAGGGTGGGGACAGATGTGGGCCTGGTGAGGGCCCTGGGGGTGGGGTCGTGGGTCACACTCTCTCCTTGTGGAAGACCCCACATCCCTCCACCCATGGGAACCCTTTTTCCAGCTCAGACGGGAGCTCAGGGTGTAGACAAAGGGAGTTGCGTGTGTGCTCCAGGCCCCCCAGCTTGACTGGCCGTGTGACCTTGCGCAAGTCACCGCCACTGGCTCTGGTCTGAAGAGGCCACTGGGGGATGCCCAGCTCAGCTCAGCCCGGCAGGGACAGGCCTCCAGGGTGGCAGCATCTGCGTTCCCCACATCCGGGGCCGGGCAGCTGGTGGCCAGGGCAGGACCATCACCAAGGAAACCAGTCATCATCCCAGCGGGGGACCAGGCTCCGTAGTGAATTGTCTGCTCAGTCAGAGGCTGGAGCCCAGCGCAGGAGGTGGTGGGTGGGGGAGAAAGGGACACTGCTGCTCACCCCACGTGTGCCCTGGTGGATGGACCCCCAGGGGACAGGCAAGATGGCTCAGTTGGTGGTGCCCTGTCCAGACAGCTGGAGACTAGGACGGCCACTCTAGTCCCCCCATGGCTGAATCCTGGGGCCGTTTCTTAGCCCACCTTTGGGCATCGTCCAGTTTTCTTTCGGGGTCCTGTCCTGCTAATGCCACCCGGACTCGGGCTTGTGCTAGCCGTGCCACGTGCCACACTCGGCAGTGCCAGCCATCGCTGGGCTTCACCGACGCCCCCCAAGGTCCTGAGACCTGGGCTTGTGCCCAGCTGTGTCCCCACGTGGAGGCCACACTGAGCCCAGCTGAGCCCCTCCAGACACCCACCCAGAGGCCACCTCCCTGCCCCCACTGCTCAGCCAGGGGAGCAGCCTCCTTGTCTGGGAGCAAAGTCAGAGCGGCAGGCACGTGTCTGATTGTCAGAGTCACCAGCTGACCAGCTGTGGAGCGGGGCTGCGTGTGTCACAGGTTCTGACGACCGTGCCCCCGCTCACAGGGTCGGGGTCGCTGCGTCCGCCTGATGAACTAGCGGACCGATGTCTACAGAGCCCACTCTGCCCACAGAGCCCGGCCCGCGTGCGCCCGTCTTGCCTGGGGCATGGGCGGCTCTCGCTACAGTCGCAGGCTTTCCCACATCTCACACCGCCTGTGGTTCGCAGGTGTGTGGACGCGACCCCCATTGTAGCGAAGCACCTGTGAACGCGGCACGCACTCACGGCAGACACCTTGCCAGCTCTGCCACCCGCCCACCACGGCCCAGCTGGGAAGCCACAGGCGGCCCCTCCCGGCACACGCAGTGGGGAGACACCTGACCCCCGCCAGGGACGGTCGGGTGAGGCACTTGCAGCGGCACCCAGTGACCCGCTGTCAGCGCCCAGGCCGGGGCACCGTGAAGGCACCCCAGTTACAAGCCTGTCACCAAGAGTGCCCTGGATGAGGGCAGGGAAAGGGGAGAGAGGAGAGGATGGAAGGGGAGGGGCGCAGGGAGGTTGAGGAGAGGGAGGGGAGGGAGGGAGGGAGAAGGGGAGGAAGGAGAGCGGTGTAGTCACCTGTGGGGGATGATGGGAGTTAACAGGTGGCACCCCAGCTCTGGTGGCAGCAGGGTGACCGAATCCAGGGCCCCCACCTTCGGGTCAGCAGGCCCCAGCCGCTCGCTCCCTGCTGAGGGTGCTGGGGGTCCCACTGTCCTGCCCCGACCTCCAAGGAGTAGCCGCCTGAGTCCCCCTCAGCAGGGTCTCCCAGTCTGGGCTGAGACCACCTCCCGGTGCCCCACCACTCACCCAGGGGGGTAACCCAGGGACATGTTAGTCATCAAACACTCAGCCACCTCCTGTAGACCCACCCTGCCCTGGGCAACAGAGGGGTCTCAGGCCCCATGGGGTCAGCGCTGGGCCAGAAGGAGGGACAGTGGCCAGGGTCTCTGAGGAGGGAGCCAGGGTTCTGCTATGGGAGAGGGGAAGGACTTCCTGGGGGAGGGGCCATTGCTGCTGGGCCTTGAGGGATGTGTAGGAGTTCTCTGGCTGGGGCAGTCCTACTCTCTGCCCTTGACCTCGGTTTCTCCATTTTCCTCCCTGCAGGAAGATTCTTGGAGAGTGCCGAGGCTGGGGGCCTGCCCCAAGAGTAGGGGACGCTTCACAGTCACACAGCAAGTGGGGCCCAGAGCTCAGCTCCACTTGGGGACCCCTAGAGGGGAGCTCGGGAACCTCATCTCAGCCCCTCGGTATTCATTCTGGACTTTCCTGGCTAAACCCTTTCCTGAAGCCCGACCATGATGAAGACTGTGTTGTGTTGATGAAACTGAAGCTCACAGGGTCCGACACCGGGTGGGAGACCTCAGGGCAGCAACTCTGCCACCGCTCTGGTCCCTGGGGTCTGCTGACCCCAGCAACTTTTAGAAAGGCAGGAACCAGGCGGGAGCGGGTGCTGTGGGGGGCCAAGTCCCAGGGAGTCTGATGCCAAAGGGCTTTCAGCTGGAACTTGAGGGTCCCGCCAGGTCCCTTCCCTTTGCCCCACCAGACACAGTCCAAGCCTCGACCCCTTTGAGGCTGGGGTGGGGCTGGCTGCCCTCTGCCGGGCACACCAGGAACTGCAGGGACAACTTGGCGAGGGAGGAGCTGCTCTCCCTGAATGCTCTCCGCTCCCCCAGCTTTTCCTGATCCCAAAAAAGAAAATGACCCGGCTTGTTGGTGCTGCAGATCCCAGCACAGACCGGGGAAAGGCTGCCCCGGGGGTGGGAGGCATGGGAGGCCGCACACTGCTCCATGAGTGTCTGCTCAGTGCCCCACGCCCTGGGGCTCAGATTTGGGGGTGGCGGTCTCAGCCTCCTCTAGGTGGTCTTTGATTTCCTCCCAAGACCTCTGGAACCCCCAGGAGCCAGCTCCCAATCGTCCTCATCCCGGACTACAAAAAGATCACTGATCACTGGGGGAGACAGGCGGGCTGGGCCCCCCATCCCAAATTCAAGGCATCCGGGGATCCTTTGTTCTTAAAGTCAGAGCCTCAGCCCGGGAGGTGCAGGGGGGCAGGGCTGACCCGGACAGCAGCTTCCGGTTGGACCCAGACCTTCACTGCAGGGAGTGTGGGAAAAATAAAAAGAAGAAAAGGTGGGGAGGGAGTGGGGAGTTAAATGGAGGGGAAGGCGACACCTGAGCAGAGACTAGGAGGAGGGCCGGGAGCCCTTGGGGAACTCATGAACAGCCAGGAACAGCCAGGACAGTGGCCCTGAGGTCAGACTGTGCAGGGATGAGGCCAGGGGGACAGGAGGTGGGGGCTGAGCCTGGTGTGGATGGGAGACGAGGACAGGGAGGTGACTGGGCAGCGGGAGGGGTGGCCTGGGCTGTGGAATGCTCGAAGGAGGTGTGTGGCCCTTACAAGGAGGGACTGAGGCCTGCCAGGATGTGACTGGCCCCGGCTCCCAGAGCTGGCGACACCTCCCACGTGGTGGTGACCGGCTGGGTCTGGGGCCACCCCCATCCCCCACAGACAGGGCGTCCCCACGCAGGAAGAGGACCTCTGGATGGGTTTCGTGTCCCAAATGAGGACAGGGGGATGTGGGCGAAGAAAACAGGAGGTGGCCATGAGCAGATGGGCTGGCGGAGGTGACTTGGGGAGACGACGGGGCAGAGGCCAACTGGAGGTCTCCCGGAAGAGGTGGCCACAGCGAGTCCGCAGTGTGCGGCTGCTGCTCCGCACCGGGTCAGTCCGGCCTCGGTTCCGTCTCCGGCCTCAGTTTTCACTTCAGTAAAAGGGGCCCGTGACCGTGCCCTGTGCGGCGGGCCCAGGGGTGGCCTTTAGGGCCGGCGCGGGGCTGACGGGGGCCAGGTGGCCACGCGAGGCGGGCGCGCTGGGGTGGGTTCCCGGGCGCCTCCCCCCACTCCAGCTCCCACCCCCGCCGGGGGGTGGGGGGGGTTGGGCTACAACAAAGCTGCTCCCGGTAAACAGCCCGGATCGATCCGGCTGCAAGGAGCTGTAATTAGATTGAACGCAGGGGAGGGGGGGCGAACCCAGCCTCTTTTTGCTGTGATCGACAAAACGCGAAGTTTTTTCTCGACTCTGCTTCGCCCCGTCCCTCCCCCAGCCTCTGCCTCTGGGGCCCCCATTGGGCACTTGACCAGGGACAGGGAGGCGAGGTGGGACGACGGGGGCGACCTACATCTTCCCTCCTCCTCCCCTCTAGTTCCTGTCCTGCCCTTCAGGGGACTTGCTGGGTAACCTTGGGCCAGTGGCTCACCCTCTCTGAGTAAATAGAGAGAAAAATCCCCACCTTATGGAATCATTGTGAGGATTGAGAGGCTCCTGACACAAAGAACTCTTGAGCTTTCTGAGGAGCATTTGTGTTTCTGCCCCTACTGTAAAGGTAGGATGAATTGGGAGAAAATTGCTAAGTGAATGAATGAATGAGTGAACGAATGAACCGAAGATTACAACAGGTGAGGTGATCCCCTTCCAGGTGGCCAAAGAGGTGAGAGGTCTATGCAGCTTCTCATATTTCCTTCCAATGTTTCTTTATGCAGATAAAATATAAACATAAAATACAAATATGCGTTCTTCCCTCCCTTTCCTACACAAAGGCTATCTGGCACAGTGTCTTCTGGGCTTTGCTTCGCCGCCTTTCTACGTCTGTACCCACACCCTCCCCTTCTGCCAGCTTCTCAGTGCAGCTACAAATATAGTCTTTTGCCTAAATCAATATTTAGTAATTACTCTTATTGTGGTTTTTCAGTGAAGAGCATCCGCAGCTGAGCCATGTAGAGTACTAGGATTACATTTCCTTTCTTGTACAACTTTGATTTTCCAGGAGTTAACAGTTGCCAAACATAAATTCTTTCCACACTCTGCAACAAAATGCAAAACCAACTCAATAGGATTTCCCACTGTCCTCCATGCCCCAGGTGCCTTGGTCCAGCTGTCTGCCAGGGTCTCCCTTCCTCATCATTTAGGGGACCCTTTTTCTCTTTGTCCTAGGTTGGATCCCATTTCCTGAATCCTACACTTCCCTTTTTTTTTTAATTTACCTCCTCATTTGGGTGGAACACATCCTCCAGTAGCTTTCTGAGAAAGGGTATGCAGAAAATCAACTTTTGGAGTCCTTGAATGTCTGACTATGTCTTTATTGCACCTTCATGCTCAATGTTTGGATATTTCGCAATTCTAGGTGAATAGACTTTTTCCTTGGAATTTTGAAAGCATTGTTCACTGCCTCCCAGTTTTTCAGAAACCCAACGCTGTTCTGATTCTCAATATTTAATATGACTTCTGGCTTTCATCTCTGGAAGCTTTTTAGGATTTTCCTTTTATTCCTGGAGGAGGAGCCTCCAATGTGCCTTTCTCATGCATTGAGCTGACGACTTGATGGGCTTTTTTTTTTTTTTGAACAGAGTTCACTTGTTGCCAGGCTAGTGAGTGCCGTGGCGTCAGCCTAAGCCTCACAGCAACGCTCCAATTCGCGGATGGTCAGCAATCCTCCTGCCTCAGCTCCCAATGCACGGGCATGCGCGCATCATGGCCGGCTATTTTTGGTGTGGTTTATTTTTTTAGTTGGTCAATTAATTTTTTCTATTTTTGGGTAGAGACGGGCGTCTTGCTCAGGCTGGTTTCGTACTCCTGGACCTTGGAGCAATTCCGCCTGGCCCTCGCGCCTCCCAAGTGCGTTAGGCATTACAGGCGTGAGGACCACCAGGCGCCCGGGCCTTGGATTTTAGGGCTTTTTTTTTTGGAGAAGAGTTCTCGCTTGTTGCCCTGCCTAGGTGAGTGCCGTTGTCAGCCTAGTCAGACTCACTCCTTCAAGTCCCTGCTCCTCGCTCCAGTCTGAGCAGCATGCGCGACCTGCGGCCTCAATTTTTCATGATATTTAGTTGGCCAATTATTTTTCTTTTCTACCTTTTAGTGAGAAGGGGTCTCTGCTTCAGGCTGGAGTTTTTTGAACTCCGTGACCTCGCAATGCCGCCCGCTCGGCCTCCCAGACGCTAATTACAGGGTGAGCACGCGGGCCCGGCCTTGTGGCTTTTTTAACTGGAGTTCTGTCCTTACTCTAGATTTTTTTGTTTTTAAATTTGATCATCGCTTCCTCTGGCTTTCGAGCGTTGTTTTGATCGATGACAACTCCTCTATTTTAATTCGTTCTCTAACTCTTATTTTTTTTTTTTGTTTTGAGGCGGGGAGTCTCTTTGTTCCCAGGGGCTAGAGTGTGCCATGGCGTCAAGCCTAGCTCAGCAACCGTCAACTCTTGTGCTGCACGCGATCTCCTGCTACTGCCTCCGTAGTACTGGGACTGGTCACGCGCACCTCATGCCGCTAATTTTTCTTATGTGTTGCCGTTACTTTTTGCTTTTTTTGTATAGTGAGAGGGGTTTCGCTCTTGCTCAGGCTGGTTTCGAACTCCTGACCTCGAGCAATCCGCCCGCCTCGGCCTCCCAGACAGCTAGGATTACAGGCGTGAGCCACCGCGCCCGGCCCTCTAACTCTATTGACATCTTTCTCTCATTTGCCACCTCTGCTTCTACCCTGGTCTATTTTCTCAGATATTTGCTTAACTTTATCTTCCGATGCTTACATTGGATAATTTTATTCCAACTATTATATATTTAAATTATAAGAATGTTTTCTCGCCCTTTAATGGTGCCTTTTATTTCACGGCATTCTGTATTTGTTTCATGGATACAATGTTTTCTTCTTGCCCTTCTGGGAATATTAATTATAGCTTTATAATTATAATTATGGCCTGCTTTGCCAACTTCTCCTGAGTTTATCTTCATGTTAGATGCTTTTCTAAAATGTCCAGTAGCTCCGGCCATCACTCGTATTTAATACTCAAACCCGAAACAGCAGCTAGAAGCTCTGCCATCCCAGGTCAGAGGAAGTGAAGTGTATGTCAGTCACACTCTGGATGGGAGAACCTGTTGTCCCTGAGACATGAGTCACCGCACAGGGAACATTCACTTATTCTGGGGACATTGATCCAACATGTCATCTGTTCTGGCTGTTCCGGGACCAAAAAAAGCAAGCTTGCTCTGCCATCCTAGTAAGCCACCAGGGCTGGCACGGAGGAGGGACAGGGAGCAGAGACCTGCTAGGACAGCATGCACCACCGGCCACTTCTGGGGCCGAGAAGGTGGGGCAGACTTTCCACCCATGCCCAGGCCCAGACGCTTAAGCGGGAGAGAAATTGAGATTCTGATCTATTCAAGCTGATGCCGCAAAGTAGCCCGCCTGTCTGGTGGCCTGTCCCCGAGGTGGGAGCAGCCCATCTTTTGCACCCGCCACACCCCACACTGCATCGTGGGGAGGTGTCTGCTTTGTAGCCCGGGCAGGGAGGACACAGGTGTCAGCCCTGCCACATCACCCTCAGCTGTTGCCGTTTTGCTCTGCAAGCATCTCAGGCCATGGGGCAACCTCTGCCACTCTCAGATCCGGAGGGTCCCGTGTGCTAGAGGGAGACCAAGCTCAGGTGGTTCTCAGCCTGTGGCTGGGGGAGGGGCTCAGACTCCAGTGTCAGCCTGGTAGGGGACCAGGACCTTAAGTTCAGTCCCCAGGCCTTGCAGGGACAGCCCAGAGGAGGAGGCAACCTGATTGCCCCGTCCTTGAAGGAGGGGGTTGCTGGGGTTTGCGATCCACCCCCCCCCCACCTATGGATGAACCATTTCTTTCACCTACGGCTACACTGAGTCAGAAATAACTCACCTGTAGAGGTTCCATGTCCTCTCCCCAACCTGGGAAAGAAGGGCAGAAAGGGACAATGAGCAATTTTTGTTGCCCTTTGGATGGAGAACCCTTGGGTGGGGGGCGGGGTGAGGAGTTTGGGGCCATGGGGCTGGGGAGGGGTGTCTGGGGCAGGCACCATGAGGAAGGGACTGGAGGGGGTGGTGGTGTCTGCGGAGGAGCACTCACTGTGTCCCCTTCTCTGTCCTCCCTTCTGTCCCCCCACCCCCGGCCTGCCTGTCCGCCTCCCTTGCGTGCTGCTTCCGGTCCCTTCTGCCCTGTGTGTCTCTGTCTCCCTGTCCCTCTGTCGCCCACTGTCCCTCCCTCCCTCGTCCACGTTTCCCTGCGTCCCCGCCCTTCCTGGGGTCTCCCCCGTCCCACTCTGCTCGGGCTTCGTGCTGTCCCCATCTTCCTCCTGTCGCCGGCGTCCCGCGCGGTGGTGGCGCCGTGTCGCGGCCTGCCCGCAGCCTGCAAGCGCAAGGAGCAGGAGCAGCAGAAGGAGCGCGCGCTGCAGCCCAAGAAGCAGCGCCTGGTGTTCACCGACCTGCAGCGCCGCACGCTCATCGCCATCTTCAAGGAGAACAAGCGGCCGTCCAAAGAGATGCAGGTCACCATCTCGCAGCAGCTGGGCCTGGAGCTGAACACCGTCAGCAACTTCTTCATGAACGCGCGGCGCCGCTGCATGAACCGCTGGGCCGAGGAGCCAGGCGCGACCCCCGGCGGCCCGGCGGGCGCCTCCTCCACCTTCTCCAAGGCCTGAGGCACCCCGGGCCGCGCCCTCCGCGCCTCGACGGCCCCGGGCGCTCCGCCCCCGCGTCCCCTCGCCCGCCCGCCCAGACCCGCCCCGGAGGCGAGCGACAGGGTGCTGTCGGGGGAGACGCACACCCCCCCAGCCCAAGTGCACAAAGCGGGCCCCTCCTCCCCGCATTGCAGCCCCCGCCAGGCCAAAGGAAGCCCCCCTGCTCCCCAGGGGGGAGGGGGAGACAGAAAGGGGTCCCGCAGCCCCCCTCAGTTCAGGACGCCCAGGGGCTCACTGTGTGGTCTCCTGAAGCGGGTCAAGAAGCACATTCTAGAAATATAAACCGGGTATTTAAAAAAAGGAATTTTAAGAATAACCCCTCTTTCGCCAGACGCCCCCACCCCCAAAGAGGGAGGCAGGAAGAACCTTCCTTTCCTCCTTCCCTCCCTGGGAGCAGGTGCCCTGTGGTCCCCCCACCCAGCCCCTTCCAGAGTCGCCAAAACCCACCCAAGTGGACCCTCCGTACCCCGCCCCGCCCCCTCCGCCCGCGGGCAGGACGGCCCCACCCCCAGGACCGCGCCGCCCCTGCCGCCGGGACTCCTGTGCCAAGAATCGCCTGCCTTAACGCCTGGGGGGCCCGGCGGCCGGCACCCATGGCGTGCCCCTCCCAGCCCGCCCGGGCGAGGGGTCGGCGGGCTCCGACATGCGGGTAACTTCCAGACGCCCCCAGCACCTCTCTAGTTCACTTTACCTTTAGGCACCTTGATGAACCACACAGGGACAGACAGCCCAGGAGATGGAAGGCGACGTCCAGATCCTACTCGGACGGGACCCCACCCCGAAGAGGCCCTGGGACGCGCAGCCGCTTGGAGCCCCCTGGAATCCACCGCCCCCGCGCCCAGGGCCTGGAGGGGCAGCGGCAGAACCTGGACGTCTCCGAGAGACAGACGATGCTGAGAAGGTGGAATCTGCTTGCTCCATTTTTTTGCCAAAAAAAGAAAAATATTGACAAGGGGGAAGGGTGGACACGAGGACGAGCTCCCCATCCCGCCTGTGGGCGTGACCTCCAAGACTCCGGAGAGCTCCGCCTTCCGGGGTTCAAGACCCCAGGCTGGGAGGAAACCCCACCCTCCACGGGGGCCCCACCGGACCAGCGGCTCCTCGCAGGGAGGGGGCCACCTGCCTACTCCCCAGAGAATGCAAAAGACATTTCTAGTGAAATGCCCTCCCCCTCCCCCAGGTAAAGGCTACCTCACTCAAACGTTCACGTCTGTGATTGGAAAAATCACGCCTGATACCAAAGATTTCCCCCAAGGAGTAGTGCTGGTTGCTATGCTTCCCTGGTGGCGGTAGGACCTGCGCCCAGGGGCTGCCCCTTCCCCACCAGAGAAGGGGGAGAGAGAGGGAGAGAGGGAGAGAGAGAGAGAGAGAGAGAGAGAGAGAGAGAGAGGAGATAGTGAGGTCGGTGAGTGCCTTCTTTTTGAACCAAAGATATGTAGGGAGTGTTCTCTTGTCCTTATCGACTCGCTATTCTCCTCACTTTTTAAGCAGCTGGATCTGAGTGATGTTTCTAGAACCTTTGGGTGTTGGGGCAGAATCCTAAAAGTAAAAAGGGTCCCCATTCCTGCTCAGCAATGAACCCCTCTCCCCAACACACACAGAGACACAGACATGCTGGCACATGCATGCATGCACATGCATGCATACACATGCAGGCACTCTCATGCACACGTATGCACACACACAACCACACACATGTACACATGCAGGCCCACAACACACACCAGCACACTCATGCATGCACATGCAGCCATGCACATGCAGACACACACATGCACACATGCAGATACACGCATACAGTGTGTGTGCATGTGTGTGTCCCTTGCATGCAGACATGCATGTCCCTCACATAAGGCGCACATGTGCACACATGCAGGCACACACATGCACATCACATGCAGACACACATGTGCACACACATGCAGGCACACATGTGCACATCACATGCAGGCCTGCATGTGCACACATGCAGATACACATGCATGCACACATACAGGCACACATGTGCACACACATGCACACGTGCAGGCACAATGCACGCATGCAGACACACATGCACACATTCAGACACATGCACACATGCACATGTGCAGGCACACACATGTACACATGCAGGTACACACATGCACACATGCAGGCACACACATGCAGGCACACACAGACACAGGCACACATACTGGATCCCATTCCTTTTGTGTGTCCCCGGGTGCTTGATTCTAGGAGGCTCCTTCCTCCCACCGCCCACTAAAACCTGGGCCCAGTCGTGCTCCGTCCCCACCCCGAGTTCCCGACGTGGATCAGGAGCTCTCCTGCCCGCTGGACACATCCTCCAGGCCCAGCAGGCCCGGGCCCATGAGAACGCTTTAATTTGTTTCAATATCAGAAGTGGGAGGAGAAAAAACAACTTTCAGGTGGCAGAAAACTTTTATATATCATATTAACATATTAGTCTTCATGCCAATATGGTCTATATATGCACTTCGTGGAGGAAGGGACCCTCAAAGGCAGTGAGGGGCATCAGGTCCAGGGGGTCCTGCTGCGGCCCCGGCCCCACGGCCTTCTTAGGAAATCCATGCTGGGGGTCTTGGGCCACCCGGCAGTGGCCAGTGGGGGACGGTGTTCCCTGGGCGCCCTCTGCTGGGCGAGTCCCTGGCCGGTCCCTGCCCTCAAAGGCCCAAGGGTCAGGTGTGCAGGACCTCCTGTTTTGTCCCCTGCTAGGGAAGCATAAGCTCTGGATCCTTCTGGATGTGGAACATTCTAGTTATGATGAATTGTGGTCGGGTTAGACCAAGCTCCAATGTCACAGCCCAGAACTCCTGGATCCTCTTCAAACACCTTCCTACCACACACACATGTGCTCGCACACACGCACACACACCAGTCCTGTAACCCCCCGGCCCCCAGCGGGCTGTCACCCCAACCTGCCCCCTGGCCCACCCCGCCTCCCCCAGAACCAGTCGGCTGTCACACACCAAAGAGCATTTTCCACACGGGGAACGATACCTCCAGCACAACTCCTTTGAGCCTTTGACAATTTTCTCTGAAATACCTCAAAATATTTAATGTATAGTTTATGTGATTTAAAAGAAAAATCCTTAGCTAGTTTTTGGAATACGTGACTTGAAGCTTTATACCGTTAAATTATAATTTTGCAGACGATGGCATGTCATGTGTTTGACGAGTCCTGCGGGAGAGACGTATTGAATGTCAGGGTGGCGGGAGCGCTGGTGGCCGGGGCAGGAGTCAGGAGGGAGCGTGGTGGCAAGAGATTGAGAGGGAGGACTGGCTGCGTTTACAGATTTCTTATTTAAACGAGTCCTTTAGGAAAGAGAGAGGGGGAGAGAGAGAGGGAGAGAGAGGGTTACTTTTCTGTTCTCTGGCTTGTTCAGTTTTCGCGGTTTTTGGAGTCATGTCTTAATGAGTATTTATTATTCTATGTGTTCTGTGTTCAAATGTAATTTAAGAAAAAAAAGGAAGAAAAAGAAAAAAAAACGCGATGGGATTTGATTTGGTGCATGACTAATGTACTCTTTCCTGACGCTAATGTAGCGGGTGGTTGGGGGCGGGGCGGGGCCGGTGGGCGGTGGCCCTGGGATTCCATGTGTCGCATCCTTGTGTCTCATGCCCAAGGTGGTGCTGTTCCGTGGTGCTTTGCGTTGCTGTCTGTTGCTTTCCCGATTTCTGAGGGACCGTGTCCAGCTGGTGGCAGGGGGCGGGGCCCCAGGTAGACAGGAAGGTGGGGGCAGGCGGCCAGCAGGACAGGGCACAGGGGTGTCCTCCACCTCCCAGCCCCCCCGGATGCCACCCACCTGCCTGCAACGCCTGGCCAGGCAGGGACTGCTAGCCACCCCCAACCTCCGTTCTTGGGTGTCCTTGGTGTCATCCCCATCCTGGGACATCCCCCCCACTCCGCCACCTGGTTGGCTTCACTTCAGCATGAATCCCCAAGTGTCTTGTTCAGAGGAGGGAGACAATCAGATGATCACCCGAGGCTTGTTGCCTGGGGGAGGGGCAGGGGTGCACCCAGACTTCCTGATCACGCCCACCCAGACACCCTCAGCTCACTGGGCCCAGAGCAGGGCACGAGTCTGCCTTTCTGTCCGGCCTGGGAGGGTGGGGGTGCGCACCTGCACAGACCTTCCCTCTCAGCCCACTTTGGGACCCTCGAGGACAGAGGGCCACCCCCCAAATCAGGAAAGTGGGCTCTGGGACAATGTCTCTCTGCCTGTGACTCTGCTTTTGCCAGGAGGCCAGGTCTCAAGCCACCCCCAGACAGTCCTGGAGGTGGAACAGGTGGACAAGCTGGCTTGGGGTTCCCTGTGCATCCTTCCCTGAGGCCAAAGGCTGCAGGGATCGGGCTGCAGAGAGGCGGGAGGGTCCCGAGTAGCGGGGCGGGCAGCCTAAGGGGGTGCTTCATGCCCTGTGAGACAGGAGGCCCCAGCCTGCCTGGGGCTGGGGGCTCGAGACCCGAAATGATGGCGGGGCAGGGGCACACCCAGGCCCTGCACCCAGCCCTGCACCTGCTGGAACTTGGGCCATGTCACATCCTCTGCCCAAAAAGGCTTAACCAAACCTATGCCCTCAGGCTCTGGGGGCACCTCCTCGTGGTCCTATCACGTGCTCTGCTCTCCCCTACAAGGGCTGTTTTGGTGGGGTTGTCTTAGCCAGGTGTGACAGGGGCCGGGAGGCCAGGTGGCCCTGGGTGTTTTCCATAAAGCCTGGAAATTATGGCTGCTTGCTGGGGAGAAGCTATTTGGGTCACCCAAAGTCCCCTGTCCCCCAGTGCTTGAGGGAAGGAACACCCTCACCACCCTCACCCTCAGGAGACAGGCTTAAAAGTAAAAAAAAAAAAAAAGTCATTGTTAACCATTGCTGTGCTGGGCTTGTTGTTTTGTTTTTCTTCAATAAATTATTTTCTAGTCACTCACCCGGGCATGTGTTGGCCGACTGGGGACGGGTGGGGCGGGGGGGAGAGGAACGGGGCTTGCCCACCACAAGGCTGGCGGGGAGGGAAGAGGGACTCTGCCCCCACCCACGGGCCTTTCGGCTCTGAATTCCACCCTCTTCCTTGGCTGCAGGCCCGCCCTGTGCCCCCACTCCACACACTGTTCCACCCTCCACCAGGAACACTTACGAATCGGAAAAGCTTGGTGCCTTTGACTCAACAACGCCCCAAGATGCAGACCTTGTCAGGACCTGCTTTTGGAGATGTGGTCATTGCCCACTGCTTTCCGGACTCTAAAGTGAAAGGAGGTGTATTTGAAGGGAAGAGACCAGGGCAGCCTGGTGGAGGAAGAAGCTAGATGGTGCCAGAATTGGAGTTTATAAACTTTTGGGGGAGGGGCCAGCTGGCGGGCAGTGGCAGGGGCCAAGACTGTTAAGCAGAGTCTGCTCATACCTTTCTCCCTTTTGGGAGCAATGAAGCTCACCCTTGTGATCTGGCCCAGGGCAAAGAAGAAAAAGCTTTCCCTGCAAATACCCCATGGGCCACTAGGGGCCAGTGTTCTAACCTAAAAAACTGGGAAAGACTGTGGCCTCACAAAAAGAAGTGTAGGAACAGAGTGAGCCTAACCAAGCCCCAGGGTCAGATGCACCCTGGTTTATTAGAAAAAGAAAAGGATGTGGTGTCCTTGTCATCAGAGGAAGGCCTCCTGCTGTCAATGAATGCTCCTCTGGGGGCAGGGGTGGCCCCTCCACCAATTCAGGTGGAAACTGGTCCTCGCTGGGCGCCGGCTGGGCTGCCACTCCGTCAGTGACGGCTGCCTCCCCGTGCATCAGGGCTCTACCTCCACAGGCTGCTCCTATGAAGATGACTCTTCTTTACTTGGCTGAGTCTCCACCACTGTCCCCTCCTTGGAGGCGTGGGGGTCCTTTGGGGAGATGTATGGCCGGCTCTCCCCCAACGGTACTGAAGTACTCCCAGATGACGGCTTCTCCTCTAAGAATTCAGTCTGGCTGCCCCAAAACGGCTGGCCCAAAGGCAATGGCTCGGTTGCCAAAGGTTGTGGCTGACTCTGCAGAAGGGACAGCTGGTGTTCTTTGGGCAGTGCTGGCTCCCCTGGAAGAGAAACTGACCCCTCCTTGGTTGACAGCAGATTCTCAGGAAGAGGTGGCCTCTGCTTGGGTGAGAGTGGCCTCTTCTGTGCCATCTGCAACTTCTGGAAAGACTCAGATGCCCTGTTCATGCTGGTGGGCAACTTGTTTGTGGGAGAACCTTGGTTGTCTGAATTAACAGCGGGTTGCCTGTCCACAGACAAGGATGAGCTCATCACAGAAGAGGGATTCATCTTCTCAAAGGATATGTCCCCTTGGTCTCTCAGCCTCCACAGGGATGACAACTTCCTGCAAACCCAGCATGAGCTATTTGGGCTGGAGAGCAGCTCTTCTTCAGATGGGACTGGGATATCAGATTCCAACTCATTGCTGCTCTCTTGTGGCCTCTGCAGAATTTTGCCCTGAGTGATGAGGTCTGCATAGCCCTCATCGTGGCAGAAGGCATAGCTGGAACGCCGACCACGTGACCCCCGATGTAAACGGGGTACAGACTCCACAGTGAAAATTTCCTCAGCTGGGGCCTCTTCTTTCACCTCTTCCTGCAAAGCAAAGAGGAAAAGCAGGGTCACCAGGCTCCCAAACTTTGTTGATTGGTTTCAGGTCACGTGCCCACCAGTGGAGGCCAATTCAGAGCCCTTGGCTTCCATTGATTGGCCAGGTTTTTACCTACCCCATGTGAGCCAGTTAGAGTCGTCCCTGGAATTGACTCTGGATCAACTAATCAGTCTTGCCCTGGGATTTAACTCTGGACCAGCCAATCAGAGTCCTTCCCTGAGACCTAATTCTGCACCAGCCAATCAGAGTCTTACCCTGAGACCTAACTCTGTACCAGCCAATCAGAGTCCTTCCTGGAGACCTAACTCTGCACCAGCCAATCAGAGTCTTATCCTGAGACCTAACTCTGAACCAGCTACCAGGTGCCTTGGGTGCCTTCTAGTGTCAAATCTAGGAGAGGTGAATCTGGGATAGCCGTGTGTCCAGCCTGTGTGGAAGAAAGTGGCAGGAGCTGAGCAGGGAGGACTGGGTGGTAGGTCTGTGGCATGTCCTGTCAATTCTGGGCTGCATCCCAGCTGCAACCTCCTTTTCCATGTCTTTCCGTGTTTCCAGGAGCTGCCAAATTCCACTTTTTTTATTGCAATAAAATATACATAACATAAAGTTGACCATCTTAAACACTTTTCAGTGTATGCTGCAGCTCAGTGGCATTAAGCACATTCACACTGTCGGGCGATCATCGCCACCTTCCATCTCTAGAACTTTCTCATTCTCTCAAACTGATGCTCTGTCCGCAGGAAACACTAGCTCTGTGTTCCCCTGCCCAGCCCCTGGCACCCACCATTCTATTTTCTGTCTCTGTGATTTTGACACCTCTGGGGACCTCCTAAAAGTGGAATTATACAGCATTTGTCAATTTGTGTCTGGCGTCTCTCACAGAGCATGACGTCCTCAAGGTCCATCCATGCTGTGGCCTATGTCAGAGCCCCGTCCCTTTCCGTGGCTGAGTGATGCTCCAGTGTGGATATGGACTGCTTAGTGTTATCTATTCATCCATCATCGATGGACACCTGGGTTGTTTCTAAGTTCCCACTTCTGCCCAAACCATTTCAAGGTTGTTTCTGTCACCTCAGCCCCTAAGCCTTAGATCACTGGTCCCAGCCTGCTGGGTGCTCCCTGCTGCTTTCCTGGGGCATCCGGCGCCCACCCCCCACCCCCGGCGAGGGCACTGGGTGTGCAGGGGGCTCCGTGTCCACCTTCTCATCCACCCCTGCACCTCTGAGGGCCAGGAGGAGTTGAGACACCTTAGAGTCCCTGTTTCCATCATGGGCTTCCCCGTGGTGGGGTCATGGGGACATTCAGGGTGTCGGGACCCCAGCCCCAGCCCCGCCTCACCTTGGGGCGCGGCTTCTTGAGGGCTTGGCAGATCATCCGCAGGGCCAGGACAGGCAGGGTGTTCAGGGTGATGTTCAACAGGATGACCAACATGGTGGAGGGGCAGGACAGCACGTTGCGGTCGGCGTCTGGGGACAGGGCACGGGGTCACAGCAGAGTCTTCCCGTCCCCTCGGCTCCGTGGACGCCCCCAGACCGAGGTGCACCGGTTCCAAGAAAGGAGCCCCGCGCGGACGCTTTGCTGAGCCACTGACTTCCCCGATCAACCTGCCGCCTCCACGGCCGGGGCCACCCGCGTCAGGACCTCCTCGCCCCCACCCCCGTGCTTGGGGCTCACACAGAAACGGGAAGGTCTTTGGGGAGATCCTGTAGAGCCTGTAGCTCTGGGTGATGTAAGTCATGACCCCGTAGAAGCCGAGGCTGAGGACGATGGTCACCACGCACAGCACGGTCCAGTACTTGATGATCAGGATGACCTAGGCCGAGAGGAGCGCTCAGTGGGGGGCCCCAGGGCCAGGAGGAAGCTGGGCCAGGACACCAAGCCCCTGGGGTCCAGGAAGGGCACCTGGGGAGGCCCCAAAGCCGGGGGTACCTGGGGAGGAGGCCTCGATGGCCAGTGGCCCAGGCCCCACCCTGGGGAGGCGCCCTGCCCACCTCCACGATGATGCACAGCAGCCCCGACAGGGCCACGACCACCGCGAAGGACTGGAAGTCGCTGAAGCTGCAGGGTCCTGCGGTGTCCCAGCTGATCCACAGGGTCATGAAGAAGTTCACCAGGGAGGTGGCGGTGCCGTGGGCGATGGCTTGGAGGAAGACCCAGTAGTTGAAGAGCTCGTTCTTCTGCCCTGCCATGTACAGCTCAGGCATCTGCAGACTCCGCTGGGCGCTCATGTCCTGGGGGCGGGGGCGGGGCCCCCAGAGGTGTGAGTTCGTGTAGATGAAAATAAAACAAAATGCCAAGAGTTCGAGAGAGGGGTGGGCACCGCTCGGCTGTGCACATGGGGATGGCTGAGACATGCCAGCAGCAGGGTCTCCTTACTGGCCATCAGTGTGGCCATTAGCTTCTGGACTGAACTGTGCAGGGGCAGAACAGTTCTGTCTTCGGCAACATTCTACAGGACCCCCTCCCCTTCACACGCCGGATCACTTAGTGGGGCCTCTCGGCACTGGGAGGGGGGACAAACATAGCAGGACCATGTCTTCTTTTCTTGGTGGGAGGAAATAGAGACGGGGTCTCACTCTGTCACCCAGGCTGGAGCACAGTGGTGTCATCACAGCCCACTGCAGCCTCCAACTCCTGGGCTCAAGTGATCCTTCTGCCTTGGCCTCCCTAAGCACTGAGATTACAGGCGTGAGCTACATCGAGAAGCCCAGGACTGTCTTTTCTGATGCCCTCTCCCCATTGCACAGATAGGCAGACAGAGGCACTGGGGCTTGGGGGCTGGCAGAGGCACGTCCCAAAGAGAGGGGCCAGTGAGAGGCCGCCTTCTACCCACCCCAGGATGGGACTGAGCTCTGGTGGGAGCAGGTGCATGGCAGTGGGTGGGGAGAGGTGTGCTCGGTAGCCCCCCCAAGCCCCATCCCCAGACCCCAGGGTGGAGAGGCTGAGCATGGGGTGGGAGGGCAGTCCAGAGGGAGGCCGGGCCTCCACCTGCTTACCTGCTCGAACAGCCCGATGTAGAGGCACGGGAGGGTGGTGTACAGGAGGTTGAACAGGGCCAGGAACCAGCCTTCGTACAGAGGCTAAGTCAGGGAGAAGGAGGGAAACAGAGTCAGCCTGAAGCTGCCCAGGGAGCCCCACTGCACTGGCCGGGCACCTGGTGAGGATTCCAGGTGAATTAGAGTCACCTTACAATCAGGGCTGGGGCTAAGACCCAGGTTGGGTTAAGTGATGCTTGACAAAGGCTGGAAGACAAAAGGCAGAGAGAAAAGAGCTTGGGCTAATGCTTTCCAAATGGTGCCTCTGAGTTTTTGTTTTCATTGGATGACTTCAAGAAAGAGCTACAAAAGGAACAATAGCCACCGCCACACCCAGCTAAGTTTTCTATTTTTAGTAGAGATGGGGTCTCACTCTTGCTCAGGCTGGTCTCGAACTCCTGGTCTCATGTGATCCTCCCACCTCAGCCTTCCAGAGTGCTGGGATTATAGGTGTGAGCCACCGCACCCGGCCATTTTGCAATATTTAGAATCAAGTTGGAGGAGACCCAAGGCTGATTAGCTCAATTCCCCTCCCAGTGCATACATCCAGTCCAGTTTAAAAAAGGAAATTAGGCCGGGCGTGGTGGCTCACGCCTGTAATCCTAGCACTCTGGGAGGCCGAGGCGGGAGGATTGCTCAAGGTCAGGAGTTCGAAACCAGCCTTAGCAAGAGTGAGACCCCGTCTCTACTATAAATAGAAAGAAATTAATTGGCCAACTAATATATATAGAAAAAATGATCCGGGCATGGTGGCGCATGCCTGTAGTCCCAGCTACTCGGGAGGCTGAGGCAGGAGGATCGCTTGAGCCCAGGAGTTTGAGGTTGCTGTGAGCTAGGCTGACGCCACGGCACTCACTCTAGCCTGGGCAACAAAGTGAGACTCTGTCTCAAAAAAAAAAAAAAAAAAGGAAATTACTTCTGAACTACAGTTCTGTGTAAACTAAAGAAATAATAGGCCGGGCGCAGTGGCTCACGCCTGTAATCCTAGCACTCTGGGGGGCCGAGGTGGGCGGATTGCTCGAGGTCAGGAGTTCGAAACCAGCCTGAGCAAGAGCGAGACCCCGTCTCTACTATATAAAAATAGAAAGAAATTAATTGGCCAACTAATATATATAGAAAAAATTAGCCGGGCATGGTGGCGCATGCCTGTAGTCCCAGCTACTTGGGAGGCTGAGGCAGGAGGATTGCCTGAGCCCAGGAGTTTGAGGTTGCCGTGAGCTAGGCTGATGCCACGGCACTCACTCTAGCCTGGGCAAGAAAGCGAGACTCTGTCTCAGAAAAAAAAGACTCTCACTGTTGGAGAAAACAGCTACAAGGAGTACATGGAGAAGGCTTAGCTCAGCCCTGGAGTCCCAGCTACTCAGGAGGCTGAGGCAGGAGGACAGCTTGAGCACAGGAGTTGGAGTCTACAGTGAGCTGTGATCATGCTATTGCACTCCAGCCTGGGTGACAGTGAGACCCTGTCTCTAAAAGAAAAAAAAAAAAAAGATATACACATAGACATATAGATGACAGATTAGACAGACATAAAACATAACAATGGTGGTCCCATAGGATCCCATAAGATGAGGATACCATATTTTTGTTCTACATTTTCTGTGTTTAGATGCACAAATAATTGCCATTGTGTTGTTGCTGCCTACAGTATTCAGCATGTACACGCTGTATGTTTCTTGGCCCTGCTTACAGGAGAAGTAACACTGTAGCACTGAGCACACCAGGCACGCGGACCTGGGTGTCTAACTGCCACTCTCCAGTGATGGGAACCTGGGCTCCGTGTGTCCAGGGCTGGGGCAGGGGAAGAGCACATGAGCCCGGAACCTCTGGTGGCACCAGAAAGTGAGGCTGTGTTCAGAGAATAGCAGATAGACGCTGAGAGAACAAACCTGAGACAATCTGAACAACAGAAATAAGAGTAAAATGAATATCCATGGCTGGGTGCGGCTACGGGGGGGACGTGGCACCCCTGAGGGGCTGTTCCCTACCCCCACCCCGAGTGGGACAGCCGTGGCTGGGCCGGCTCACCTGGCCGCTGAAGCTGTTGTAGAAAGCAAACCAGATCTGAGCCATCATGATGGCCAGTGTCTTGTAGACGAAGTAGCGCAGGAACTTGCAGACCCGCACGTAGGACCAGCGTCCGTGCACCAGCAGCAGCCGCTGCAGGAAGCAGAACTGGCCCAGCGCGAAGTCGCTGTTCTGCACCGCCTGCGTGCCCTCCTGCCCCGCCAGCCCCACGCCGATGTCTGCTGCTGCGGGGCACACACGTGGACACTTAGCATCCAGCCACCTCCAGGGAGGCTGTCCCGGCCTCCCCCAGCCCCGCCACCCGCCACCCACTCTTGATCATGTTGACGTCGTTGGCACCATCCCCGATGGCCAGGGTCACCACTTGCTGGTATTTCTTGACCAGGGCCACAACCAAAGCCTTCTGCTTGGGCGTCACCCGGCAGCAGATGACAGCCTGGCACCGCGAGGCCAGGTCCACGAAGGCCCGCTCACGCCGCACCTCGAGGCTCTCTCGGGATTTTGAGACCTTGGACTTCGTTGGGGTCTGCTGGACGCTGAAGTTCCACCACAGCATGGATATGCGCCGCGCCCGCAGGAAGTCCCGCACGCCCTCAAAGGGCTCTTGCCAGGACTCGTCTGCCTCCACGTTCTGGATCAGGGCTCGAGGCTCCTTGCGCAGGGAGAGCAGCAGCTTGTCCTGGCCGACAGGGCACAGGGCCCTGTCACTCTGAGAGCCCCCGCTCCATCCCCAAGCCCCGCGCACACACACACCCGCCCCCCTGCCTCCCACTGCTACCCTGGTCCAGGCTTGACCACGACTCTCCTTCTCTCTGGCCCCTTGGAGTCCTGTCTCTCCGCGTTGTTATTTGAGGCCCTGCAGGCTCAATCTTCCCAACGGTCCCCCCTCCCCACACTTCATGGGACCCCACCCCCAGCCAGTCACTCCTCCCAGGCCTCTTCTGGACACTGGGACTCCACTGTCCACCCCGAGCTGAGACTGACCAGGAAGACCCCGTCAATGACCATGGCCAACTTGACATGTGGCGGGAGCTTCGGAAAGTCCTTCTTGGTCTGCAGGTTGCTGTTGTGCTCTGAGCAGGCTTCCAGGAATTGGCTGCGGGCGCCCAGGGGGTTCAGCTAGGCCCCAGGGCACCGGCTCCCTTCTGCCCGGCCCCCCCACCCCGCTCACCTACCCTAACCCCGGTTTCTTACAGTATCTCCTTCTCCTCCAGGATGAGCATGTTCTCTGACAGTAGCTGGCAGGCAAAGCTTATGTTCACCGCGGTCTCTGCAAACCAGCAGGGCTCAGTGCTTGAATGGCCTGGCAAATCGCAGCAGCACACCCCACCCCCTTACAATGGCAACTGGCTCAGAGAGGGACATGTCACCCAGGCTGGCCAATGAGAGCCAGCCTTGAGACAGCCTCCAGCTCTAAGCAAAAGGGCTGCTCCCTCTCTCCCCTGGGGGCTGCTGAGGAATGGAAGTCTGAGGCCGGGATCACTGGGCGTATCATCATGCCTCGGACTTAAAGAAATGTCTTCATTTTCTTTTAAAATCAGAAGGAAAAAATAGTGTACATAATTCAGCCTGGACATTAGTCTTTATAGAGTCAGAAAACGGCATTGTTAGTATTTGTGTGTGTGTATGGAGCACCAGGGAGCAGCAAAGGCAAAAATGCCTTGGCCCCACAAAAGCCCTAATGTGGCCCTGCTGGCACCTGCCATGTTCTCTGAGATGCCCAGCGGGGTCCCAGAGAATGTATAGGTGGGGCCTTGTGTTCCACGGTGGAAGAGAGTTAGGGCTTTGGGGTCACAGGACCTGAGGTTCCAATCCCAGCTTCCATTAGTGCCCCAAGCTCTCTCTGCCCGCTGGGCTCACCTGTCGCACTGGGGTAATGAGGGCCCCACCTCACAGGTTTGCTGCGAGAAAGAAACTCTCACCGGGTGCTCTACACAGCCTCAGGCCCCCAGGAGGCACCCTGTGCATTGCGGACTTTTTAATCATTTCTGTTTGCCCCTTTCTGTGACCCAGCGGCCGCCCAGAGCCACTCTGGGACCCACCTTGCTTGTCCCCTGTGAGCACCCAGATTTTGATGTTTGCCTTCTTGAGACACTTGATGGTGTTAGGAACGCCGTCCTGGAGTCTGTCCTCAATGGCTGTGGCTCCCAGCAGCTAGTGGGGTGAGTAGCAATAGGGGTGCTGGGTGAGAGACTGAGCAGGGACCCAGCTCCCCGTAGGGGTAGGGGACCCCGGGGACCCCTACCAGTCTCCCCATGTATCTGCCCACCTTGAGGCTTTGTTCCATCTCGTTGTACAGCTCCTGCAGGGCCTGCGCCCGATTCTGCAGCAAGACACTGGCCTCCTGGTGCCGCTGGTGCCACCTCTCGTACGTGGCCTCATCCACCTCCTTGTAGGCCAGGCACAGCGTTCGCAGGCTCTCCTTGGCAAAGGCCTGGGGCCAGCCGGGCAGGACCTATCACCACCTGGTCTCCCCATGGCCCTGTTGCTCTGCCCTTCCCCCTCCCCCCACATCCCCATAGCAGCCAGGGGGACTCAGAGAACCAGCATAGGATCCCCTGCCCCACCCACTCCATCTCAGACCCAGACGTGCTCGGCTCGCTTGCTCCCAGGCCTCTTCCGCACCAGGGACACAAGCGCTGCGCTTTGCGTGGCCAGCTCTAGCTGTTCCTCAGGACCCTCCATGCAGCCTCCCCCGACTCCCCCACAGGGCTCCCCAGCCCCTCCCTTGGACCCTCTGCTTAGTAGGACTCTTTGCACCCTACTCTCTAGCTCTGTCACCCAGGCTGGAGCTCAAGCGATCCTCCTGCCTCAGCCTCCCCAGTAGCTTGGACTACAGGCATGCACCACCACACCTAGCTAATTTTTCTATTTCTTGTAGAGATGGGGTCTTTCTATGTTGCCCAGGCTGGTCTCAAACTCCTGAGCTCAAGCAATCCTTGGCCTTGGCTTTCCCAAGTGCTGGGATTACAGGGATGAGCCACCATACCCAGCCATCTATCTCATTTTGGGAGGGCTGGGCCAGGGTTGAGTCCCTTGGGCTTGTGAACAGATCCTTTGGGGCTCACCCCAAGTGGGGCCTGAGGGCTTGGTGGCCCCAAGGAAGTTGCCCACGTGGCTCCTCATGTCCTTCCCGCCCAGGCTTTCTGCCCCAAGGTGGGGGCCCAGGTCTTGCTTTTGTTAGGCCAGAAAGGTCAGGCCTGGATACCACAGAGGGGTTTCCTGGATATTGGGAGCTCCCAACAGTCCTTTACCCTTCCTAGTTTACCCATCTGTTCCCTAGTGTGGTTTAGCCTAGCCATGCTGCCGAGCTCTTGGGCTCTGGGCCATCATTCTGACTCACTTTCCCAGTTCTGGGCCAGAGACTGGATGCCTGGCTCCTCCACCCTGGCAGGGCAGGGCACTCCAGGAGACCCCGAGTTGGGGGGCACATGGCATTCTTCCACCCCCTGCCTACTGGCCCTTGTCCCCTCTGGCCCCATAGGGTCAGGGCTGGCCCAAAGGGAGGGAGCCCCGGGGTGGTGACAGCCCCAGGTTAGGGGACCAGGACAGGAGGGGCCCCCTGAAGGTGGGCACCTTGCAGCTGAGCTGAGGTCCAAGAGGTCTGAATGACAAACTGGACAGAGGGAAGAACATGTGCAAAGACCCCACTGCATCGCCTGAGCATGGGGGAAATTGCAAGCCAGAAATTGGGGTCCCGGGAGCCCCTCACGGGGCAAGGACAGACAAGCCAGCTGGAGAGGGCAGCGGGAGACAGACCGAGACAGCCTTGAAGGCTGATCTGATCTAGGGAGTTTGGGCTTCACCCACAGGGAGGAAAGGTTTGGGGCAGAGAAGGCTGATTGTGTCCTGGAACCCAGGTTTAGCTGGGAGAGGGGGATGGTGTCCAAGGCTAAAGCCCAACCACAGAGTGTCCTGTGTCAATGAGAAGACAACACCTTCTTGGAGCAGGTACATTTTGGAGTTCAGCCCCCTCCCATTCTGTGTGTGTGTGTGGCAGAGGGTGGAGGAGGTGCTTTGTGAGTGCACAATCTGCCCACTTGTCCATGGCTGCCCCAGGTACCTTCAGCCATTTCTCTGCACCACTCCTCCCTGGCCCTGCCCTGGTCCTGTCCACACGCACATGCACGTGCATACACACGGACACACAACAGCCTTCCTCCCCGCCGGGACTCACAGCCAAGGCCTCCTCTGTGCTCAGCTTCGAGCTTTGTTTCCTGTGTAAGCGCTCCAAGATGACTGTGTCGGCACCCTTGGTGTAGAGGCAGATGGTGCCCTCCGGTTTCCGGACTGTCGGGGGAGAGAGGCCCGGCTGCCCACACACGCTCCCCTTCTGCCCAGCACGACCCTGGGACCCGGGATGGGGGCTGCCCAGGCTCACCCAGCACCGACATCCGCTTGCGCATGCTGTTGAAGTCCATCATGGCCAGGACCTGATAGACACGCTCCTCCCCAAGCTCCATGAGGGTAATGGTGTCCTGGGTACGCGACAGGAACACGTAGCCGAAGTTCCGGGCCGCCGTGATCAGCGCCTCCTCATCTGGGGAAGCCGCCTGGTACACCAGCAGGTCTGGCAGGGGAGGGGACCAGTGGGGTGGGGGGAGGCACACGTTTGCAGACAGCTGGCCACATGCAGGCCCTTTTGGGGCCCCTCCATCTCCACGGCGCAGGGTGGAGGGCGGAAAACGGGCCCTGCTGGTGCTAACAGATACTTCTGGGATGGTGGCCCCTCAGGCCTGCACAACCTCTAAACCCAACTGAGGGAGGTGGGTGCTTGGGTCCCAGTCTAGATGACCTCCTCAGGCTCAAACCCAGCCCGGGACACCCTTTGGCCCTGATGATGACAATCCCAGCGCTAAGCCATCTCTGCTCTCAGCTCTAAGCCCAGTGAAAACGCTCTGAGGCTGGTACCGTCTCAAACCCCCAGGAACCTGGGTGACCTCAGAGTAGGAAGAGAGGCGGCGGCGGCTGCGTGCTCACTCTCTTTCTCCTGCACCATAACGGTGTGGCAGATGGCGAGCACACGCCAGAACTCTCGCACCGCCTTGTCCCTCTTGGCTTGCACGATGCGCAGCAGTGTCTCGTTATGGAAACGCAGCTTCCCGTCGGCAAACTTGTTCCACAGGTAGGGGTTCCCCTGGGGGGCGGCACAGGCCAGCTGTGGGTAGGTCACCGCCCACCCCTCCCCGTGTCCAGCACTGTGGGGTGGGCAGGGCTCACCTTGGGGCTCCTGCTCTCTGAATCTGGACCTGAGGAAAGACCCCCCTTCAGGCCTCAGCTCCCTGGGACTTGCTTGCAGGGGGAAGGGTTCCTACAGCCCCTGCCCTTGGGCACCCAGCCCCCCTTGGAGAGAGCGAGGGTTGCTGAGGTGTCAGGGCTCACAGACCCCGAGTGGCCTCAGGAAAGGAGGGGACCCGGCAGAGGGCAGAGCGGCCCGGGCCCCACCCACCGTAGACATGGCCATCGATGCAGCACTTCTTGAAGGCCAGGATGTTCTGCGTGAGTGTGCCCGTCTTGTCGGAGAAGATGTACTCCACCTGGCCCAGCTGGTCGTTGAGGCTGGTGCTGCGCGCCTTGGCGGGCTGGTTCAGCGGTGCGTAGTACATCGCCTGGTCCCAGTTGATGAAGATGCTGTTCCCCAGGTAGATGAACTCCGCCCTGCAAACGCACGCCGGCTCAGGCTCCCGGCCCACAGGAGCTTGCTCGCTCCCTCGAGGGGCCTCCCTGTGGTCCCGTTGGTGGGGGTGTGACCGTGGGCGGACGCACATGATGAACATGGCCATCGGGACCATGACGCTTAGCAGGATGAGGAAGCTCCAGAAGATGAAGAAGGACTCCATGGCTACACTGCGCCGGTACAGGATCCAGAGGTAGTGGTGCCTGTCTTTCAACTCTCTCATCCAAAGACCAAAGCTCACGGCCAGGGCCGTGGACACAACCACGAGTGACAGGAAGATCTGCGGGGCGGCAGGAGTGGGAGGGTGTGCAGGGGGGCAGGGGTTGATGGGATGCCCCAGGGATGCCAGCAGGACCAGCGCAGGGGCGAGCAGGGCCCCCAGCTCTGCACCAGGAAGGGACGGGGAGAACAAAGGGAAGGCTTGGGCAACCTGAGGACAGGGGAACTGCCAGGGCTGTGCCCAGGCTTTTGTTTTGTTTTGTTTTGTTTTTTTTTTTTTTTTTTTTTTTTTGGACAGAGTCTCGCTTTGTTGCCCAGGCTAGAGTGAGTGCCGTGGCGTCAGCCTAGCTCACAGCAACCTCAAACTACTGGGCTCAAGGGATCCTCCTGCCTCAGCCTCCCAAGTAGCTGGGACTACAGGCATGTGCCACCATGCCAGCTAATTTTTGTATATATTAGTTGGCCAATTAATTTCTTTCTATTTATAGTAGAGACGGGTCTCGCTCTTGCTCAGGCTGGTTTTTTTTTCGAATCTGACCTCGAGCAATCCGCCCGCCTCGGCCTCCCAGAGAGCTAGGATTACAGGCGTGAGCCACCGCGCCCGGCCTGTGCCCAGGCTTTTGTGGCTGGCCTTTTCTTTTCTTTCTTCCTTTTTTTTTTTTTTTAGAGACAGGGATCTCATTTTGTCACCCAGGCTGGTGTGCAGTGGCATCATCACAGCTCACTGCAGCCTCCAACTCCTGGGCTCAAGCGAGCCTCCTACCGCCACGCTCAACTAATTTTTTCTATTTATAGAAAATAGAATAGGGGTCTCACTCTTACTCAGGCTGGTCTCAAACTCCTGACCTCAAGCGATCCTCCCACCTCGGCCTCCCAGAGTGCTGGGATCACAGGCGTGAGCCACTGTGTCCAGCCTGTGGCTGATTTTTATTATTACAATAACTTCTAAAACTATAGAGTTGATTGGCCAAAATGTTAAGGATTATTAACATTTCAGCAGAAGGTAGATAAGCACTTTATTTCCTGTAGCCCAGAAAATCATCAGGATCGGGGGAGAGGGGAGGGGCAGGCAAGGGAAATATATGTAACCTTAACATTTGTACCCTCATGATATGCTGGAAAAAATAAATTAAAAAAAAGAAAAAGAAAACCATCAGGATCAAATGTATTTGATAAAACATAATACAGGCTGGGTGCCATGACTTTGGCACTTTTGGAGCCCAGGAGTTGGAGGTTGCAGTGAGCTGTTACCACACCACTGCACTCCAGCCTGAGTGACAGAGGAAAACCCTGTCTCAAAAAAATATCTTTTAAAATTATTTTAACAAAACATTCTGTGCCCAAACACCTCCTTTTTTTTTTTTTTTTTTTTTGAGACAGAGTCTCGCTTTCTTGCCTAGGCTAGAGTGAGTGCCGTGGCATCAGCCTAGCTCACAGCAACCTCAAACTCCTGGGCTCAAGCGATCCTCCTGCCTCAGCCTCCCGAGTAGCTGGGACTACAGGCACAAGCCACCATGCCCGGCTGATTTTTATATATATATTAGTTGGCCAATTAATTTCTTTCTATTTTTATGGTAGAGACGGGGTCTTGCTCAGGCTGGTTTTGAACTCCTGACCTTGAGCAATCCGCCCGCCTCAGCCTCCCAGAGTGCTAGGATTACAGGCGTGAGCCACCTCGCCCGGCCTCAAACACCTCCTTTTGCAGAGGAGGGAAACTGAGGCCCAGGTGATGACAGCCAGAGCTTCTGTCTGTGGGGTGGGGCCCTTCCCTTGCCCCTTCTCTGTAGGCCCCAGGTAAAGCACCCACTGGCAACTCACCACGACGACCAGCTTGTTCATCAGCAGGTCTAGCTTGGTTCTCTTCAAGTGGATCTTGCCACAGTTCTTCATGATCTTTGTGTCAAAGCCTGCAGGGTTTGCAACCATCCATCCACCCACCCACCCCTCTATACTCCTACCCATCCATCCACTCATCCACTAATCCACCAATCCATCCATCCACCCACTCACCCATCCATCCATCTACCCCTCCATCCATCCACCCACCCATCCATCTACCCCTTCATCCATCCATCCATCCACCAATCCATATATCCATCCACCCATCCATCCATCCATCTTCCTGCCCATCCATCCACGCATCTACCCATCCATCTACCTATCCATCCACCCACCCATCCATCCATTCATCTTCTTACCCATAATGGATGAGTGCACTCATCCACCCACCCACCAATCCACCCATCCATCTTCCTGCCCAGCCATCCACTCATTCACCTGCCCCCCAATCCATCCATCCACCCATCCATCCATTCATCCATCTACTCACCCATCCACTCATCCTTCCATCTGTATATAAGCACTCCATTCAGCCCAAACAAAAGTGCTGGCTCAACACATCCCTTTTAAGTTTCAGCACCAGGTCCCAGGGAAGCCAGGAGCTCTGCGTCGCTGGGCAGATGCACAGCAGCCTGGTCTGGGTTTGTGGCTCCTCACCCTCTACTTTAGGGCTCTCAGCCGCCCGCACCCCCCACCTCCACCTGCACGGCTCGTGCTGCAGGGGCCCTGGAGTGGCCGTACCGGCATAGATGACCATGCCATAGCACATGTTCGTGTTGCGGATCTTGCAGCCGCGGAGGAGGAGGTTGCCAATGTCCAGGGGGTACATCTTGCCGTTCCACTCCAAGCGCCCCACAAACTGGTGCATTCTGCTGTTGGGCTCCTCACACATCACCCGGCCTGTGGGCAGTGGGGCGGCCAGCGGGCCAGTGTCATGGCTAGGCTTGGGTGCTCCATCTCGGCTGGGCTCCCTGCCACCACCCCTCTCTAATCAGTGCAGGTGGGAACATTCCTGTCACCCTCTAGCCCCAGATACCTTCATGGGCCCCCAGTGCTCCAAGTGACCCCTGTGCCTTCTGCCCAGACTCACACTTCCCTGATCCTCCAGCCAGATCAGCCCCTACCCAGCCCGCTACCTCATGGTCCTGACCATAGGACGGGGTTATTTGTGTGACCATGTCATTAATGTCTGTGGGCTCCATGAGAGCAGGCGCCAGCCTTGTCTTGGCCATGCTGTGACCCGAGGGCATAGCCCAGCACCTGGCACGTGGTAGGTGCTCAATAAGTGTGTGAAGAGGGAAGGGGAGAAGGGACACCCATGTGGGGGCAGAATCCCCAGCACCCTGCCGCGACTGTCCACGATCACCCAGTTCCCTGTTGCCCTGCAACAAGGCATTGTCAGTCGCGCTTCTTTAAGGAAGCAGGCTCAGGGTGCAAAGACCTGGCCCAGGCCAGTACTCGGTGAGCGCTAACATGACTGTGGGGTGCGGGCTGGAACCCCCAGAAGGAGGAGGAGCGACAGAGCTCTTGTATGGTCCTTGCCAGGCTGTCCCATTCCACCATAGGGACTGGGAACCTGACTTATTCCTGAGTACAGGAATCAGAGACATCTAGGTTGGTATGGGTGGAGCTCTGACCCTCAGTCTCCTCCTCTGAGAAATGGGGTTCTGCCCTGCAGGAGTGCTGAGGCAGCTGAACCAAGCCAGGGCCTAGGGAGAGCCTCCTTGCCAAGCACCCTGGGGTCTTCCTGACCAGTGGGAAGTGCCTCTCTCTCTGCTCCTGTCTTTTCATGGGGTCACATGGCAGTGACCAAGTTCTGAGGCTACCAGGACAATTAGAAAAGAATAAACAAGGCTATGGCTGCCTTCCACTGAAGCTAAGCCTTTTCCTAGACGTCAGGGACAGATAGGAAAAAGGAAAAAAAAAAAATGGTGCTTGAGTGTCAAGAGCAAGGAGGCTGTGGCTCAAGAAAAATATTCTGCTCCAATTAATTGAACCAATTAAAGTAGCTTGCCTTTTCAACAAGACAAGAAGAAAAATCTGTCAACTTGCCTTTGCAACAAGACAGGAAAACAAAACAAAACCGTATCCCCTCACTGGGCTGCAGCAAACAGTAACTGTGTCCACACCACCTGTGGGAAACACTCCAGGCAGAAAATAAGAAAATGCCAAGGGGTGGAGTGGGGATGGTGCCCTGTTCTTGCTGGCCTGTCCCACCACGTGAGTCGTCGGCCTGCACATGAGAGCTGCCTTTTCGATGAAACCATGACATGATCAAAGGCATCTGTGTTGTGTTAAATTTAACACTGTTCAATAAAGTGCCGCAGCATGTTTTGTAACAAGAGTAACAACAACAACCAAAGATCCCAGCTTTTACCAGTTTTTGCCCTGATTCTGGGGACATGAAACAGAGGCCCAGGTCAGGTGCTTGGGATGGCCACCTCACACCAAGGCCTCTCACCTTGGAAGGATGCCATCTTCCTCGTATTGGTCAGCTCCTGGTGGGTGACCATCAGGGCCTGTCTGAACTTCAAGTTGGTCTCCCTGGCGATAGGGAGGGCAGGGAGGAGAAGAGGAAGGTGAGAGGGGCAGGGGAGAGGTGTCTTCCTGGCCCAAGGAGCCCCTGGCCCTCTTCCTCCAGAGTCATGCAAACATTTTCACTGAGCACCTAGTATGTGCCGGCTGCCAATCAGAAGGATGAGGCCCAGGGAGAAGAGAGAGAGGGCCTTGCCCAGGGCCACCCAGCATTATTTGGCAATGCGCTGAGGCCTTGGCCTTCCCACCCTCCGGCACACAGTAGGGCCTGCAGAAATGCCAGGTGGAGTGAACAACCAAAGTATCTGAGAGGGGAGGGCTTGGCCAGCAGCCTCTGTGGCAACTGGCAGAGTGGGGCTATCTGGGCCGTGCGCCAAAGCGCCCCAGGCTCCCAGAGATGTGGTGGCTCCTTACCCGTCGATGTCAGCTGTCTCCACGTAGCACAGGCTGCTGGGCTCCGAGCTGGCCAGCAAGAGCAAGTCGGCCTGCGTAGGGGGTATCGTTGTGGGAGGGGACGGAAGACAAGCAGGAGAGGCCGGGCGGCCCTCCCCAGGGTGGGGGGGCAGGCGCTTACAGGGAGGGGTGTGCTGGGGCGGGCGACACCAGCTCACCGGGACTATGCTGTCGTTGCTGAGACAGACCACGTCTCCTACGCACAGATTCTTCCATTTTTGCCAAATGAAGCTGCAGGGAGCGGGGCGTGAGAGGTGGGCCTCCCCGCCACCCCCACTGAGCCCGAGCATGTCTTAAGGGCCCGCAGTTGGGTTGGGGACACTTGGCTTCCGGGAGTCCCTACCACCCTAGGCCTTTACTCCCGCTAGGTCCCACCCACTTGGCAGCCTGCAAGGCCAGCTCGGTTACTGCCTCCCCCAGGAAGCCTTCCCTGACCTCCCACCTCCATCCCAGGGACCCATGCTCCTGCCCAGGGACCTCCATGGTCCCGCACCCGAGTCCTCTCCCTGCTAGGGAGAGGCAATTGGTGGCAGGCACCTAATGGGGGCCTGGGTCCCCCCGCCAGACTCAGCCAGGAGACCAGGGGCATGGAAGGTGACGGACTCTTTGCCCCACTACCAGCCACCGGCCTCACCTCTTCCCCACGAGGACCTGGCAGGGCCTGTTGTTGACGGTTCTGTCACTCCTGTGCCGGCCCTGGGCCACGAAGGAGCAGGTCAGAGGGACCAGCCTGCCTCTCCTGCCCCTGCCCCGTGCCCACCATGGCTCCCCCAGCTCCACTCACGATGTCGTCCACTAGGTCACGGGTGGCACGGATGGCGAGAAGGCAGACCAGGGGGGCAAAGAGAGTGAACCAGGGCAGCGTGGAGATCTCAGGGATTCCCTGCCATGGGTGGGGTGGGTCACACCAGCTGGCCAGGTGGGCTGACCCCTCCCTGTCTTTCTGGGGACCTCCCCCACCCATCTCCCCTGCCCTGCCACCCAGCAATCCCAGCCCCTACGTCCAACATCGCTGAGTCCCTCCCCCTGCCTGCCACCTAGCAAACTCCTCTTCCTCCTGGCCCAGCTCCTGTGCCGCCTCCTCCAGGGAGCCCCCAAGCCCTGGCCTTGCTTCTCCTGGGGTTTTCCTTGAGGTCTGAGCACCACCACTACACCCTGGGGCCCGGCCTCAGGCTTAACAGATGTGAGTGGGAGGTGCCCTGGCCAGATGCCCATCCCCGGATGCCACCCCAGACCACCGCTCTGGACTCCTCCTTCCTTCTCCGCACCCGTCAAGGTCCGCTCAGTAGACAGGGGCTGGGGGCAGTGGTATGACCAGGGCTGTCCGGGACGGGAAGGGGCTGTGTCCAGCAGGTGCCAGCGAGGCATGGAGAGGCTGCCCTCCTTGGACCTGGAGGGTCTGTTCATCCACTTTCATCATTCAACACGTATTGAGCGCCTTCTGTGTGCCAGGCCCTGGGCCGGGCAGTGGGGACCCAGCAGTGAGGGTCTGTGGGGAGTGGGGCACTGACCCACACATCACACAGACAAATACACAAAGTCACCCAGATGGTCAGGGAGGGCTTCGTGGAGGAGGTGACACTCCCACCATGGCTCCAGAGGACAACTAGGCTGGGAGGGGAGCAGGGAGAAGGAGTGGCGTGGGTGCCACGCGGAGGCCCCTCACCTGCAAGATGACGGTCATAAGGAAGTACACGTTGGACACGCGGTGGAACTGCTCGTACAGATTCAGTGGCAGGAAGGAGAAGAAGTTGTACTTGGCCGTGCGGATGATGTTGGTCTGGAACGAGAGCTGCCAGCGTTTGGCACAGGAGCGCGAAGCTGGCCCTGCCCACCCCAGCCCCCACTGAGTAAGCATCTTCTGGGCCAGAATTTATCGAGCACCTGCTGAATGCAAGGTCTCGGAGCCAGGATTAATTGTCTATTGAATGCAAAGCCATGAGCCAGCGTTTACTGAGCACCTACTGAGTGCAAAGATTCATAGAGCTGAGACCCCAAGGGAGATACCAGGAGGGATTCGAGGGGGCTCTGAGGGCCACCTATCCTTTAACATGCACCAGGACAGGGCAAAGAAGATGTAACTGCCCCCGCCAGGGGTGAGGTGAGCACGGGCAGGCACCATGGTCCTTACTTTGCAAGTAACACCATGGAACAAATGCAAGGCCAAGTGCTGGCCCAAGCCTGGTGGCTCTGGGAGTGCGTGAGGGACTGCCCACCTTGTACTTCTGCCTGTGCCAGCACAGAAACACCTTCTTCCTGAACTGCCTGTGGTAGTCGTGGCTGTTGGCCTTTATGTCCCAGGTGAATGCTGCAGCCAGGGCAGAGCTGGGTGTCACTGGAGCACCAGGCCCAGGACAAACACCTCTTAATGACACCCCGGGTGAGGGCTCATGGGGCCCAGGGGACCCAGGTACCAGGGATGCCCAGCTGTGGCCAGAGACAAACTGGAAGAACCCGCCAAGCCCCGGCACATAGTAGGTGGATCTGAAGACACCTTCTTGCCCAGCTGTGAGCCAGTCCATGGACGCAGAGGACAGGTCCTGGGAGACTCACTGAGGTCCCCTCATTTTGCAAATGGGGTGAACTGAGGCCCGGTGATGGGCTCTGGGGCAACCAAGGCCACACCCGCAGCCTGGGCTGCTCACGTATCCCGACCACTTGTAACCACTCAGGAACACCAGGCAAGGCCCCTCATGCGGGTTTGGGGATGGCCTTCCTGTCCCCTCTCTCCTCCCTCCCGCCCACGTCCCATGCTCAGCCCAAGACATGCACCTGTGTCCTCGTTACCATCGTGGAAATCTTCTGGGTAGGTAGGACTGCCCATGCTGCCGGGTCTGCCGTGGGGAGAGGGACCCCGGGTCACACAGGTGGCCCCAGCGCTGGCCGGAGGAACACCATCCACTCCATGGCCTGGGGGTCAACCCTAGCAAATGTCACCTCCCACGCCTGTCCGCTGTCTCCTCCCTGGGCTCGAAGGTCCAGCCACTGGCTGTGTGTCCTGCCCTGTCAGGACACCCTCAGACGCAGGGGTCCGGAGCTGGTCCCCAAACTGCAGCAGTGCTGGACGGGCGAACCTCTGGCCACTGCTCCCACTGCCCGCCCCCCCTCAGCCTGGTTTCCCTGCAGCCTCCATCCTCCGCCCCACCAGCACCCAGTTTGTTGACTGAATGAGCCTGGGGAGGCGGGGGTAGATGCTATCCCAGGGAGGTCTGAGTGTGGCCCCGGGGCTGCCTGGGCAGGGACTGTGACTGGGGAGGGAAGCTTCTCCACTAACAGGCTCAGAAATTTGAGGCCAGCTCTGCAGCAGGGGGGCCCTCGGCAGCTCCCTCCTGGCCAGGCCCCCTCCCAGGCTGTTCCCTCTGCCTGGCCATGTCCTCACCCTTAGAGTCTCAGTTCATACTTCCCAGCCCCCAGGCTGGGCCTCGAGCCACCACTGGGCGCGCCCCCTGCCCCATCCCAGCTCAGGAGGCCTCCGCTCCTCCACCTCCCCCGAGTGCCCAGGGCGGGTGTCTGAGTCACCGGTGTCCCTGGGGCCCGGCGGGGCAGGGCTGGCCCCGGCCTCTGGGGGGCTGGGCGGGGCCCGCGCCCGTTTGGCAGATGAGGAAAACTGAGGCTCATCGCAGGGAAGGGGCGGGGTCGCGCTGCGGAGCGGAGGCTGGGGCGGGCGTGGGGCAGAGACAGCCGCGGTGCTCGCCTGTCCCGCACCGCTGGTCCGACCAGAACCCCCTTCCCCAAGTCCCCCGGCGCCCCGCACCCTCCGGGCCCGACCGCGCGAACCTCGAGGGGGCGCTCTCTCCGCCGCCGCTGCGACCCCGCGGCCCTCAGCCGGGGCGGAGCCCAGAGAGGGTACGAGGGGGCCCGGGACGCACAGCAGTGGGGACGGCCCCGCTCACCTGCGCCGACTCCGGCGGGCGGGGCCGGGCTTCCTGGGGCGGGGCGGGCGGGGCCCGGCTGCCTGGAGCCGGCGACGGGCGTCCAGGGCGGCGGACTTGGTGTGGCCCTCAGCCTGGCGTCTGGCAGCCTGGGGCGGGCCGCGGGCGTCCAGAGCGGCGGGCGTGGTGCGACCGTTAGGACCGTTAGCCGGGCGCCAACCGCCTTGAAATGCTAGGCGCAGGCCGGGGGCGGGGCCGGGAAGGGGCGGGGCCAAGGTGGAAGGCGGGGCCAGAGAGCCTGCAGAACGGGCCAGGTGGGGGCGGGGCCCAGTGGGGCTGGGCGGTACGAGGCAGGGTTGGGACCTGGGGCGTGGTCATGATAGAAGGCGGGGCCGAGAGAAGCCTTGAAGGGCTGAGGTGGGGTCAGGGCGAGGTAGGGGCGAGGCCAGCGTGGAAGGCGAGGCCAGAGGAGCCTTGCAGACCAGGAGGGGCGGGGGCAGGAGCCTCGGGTCGGGGCCAAGGTAGGGGCGCATCCCAGCGTGGTGGGCGGGCAGAGGCCGATGATGGGGCGGGGTTAGGTTAGGGGCGTGGCCTGGATAGGAGGGGAGGGCCGGACATAGGGGCGTGGCCAAGGTAGAAGACAAGAGTGATGGGAACTCCGGACTAAGCCAGGACAGGGATGGTCCGAGCCTCTGGGGCGGGGCCACGGTAGAAGGCGTGGCCAGACGGGCCTTACAGAGCACGGTCAACGTGGGGGCCTGGGGTCTGTGAAGCGGCAGGGCAGGCCTGGGACGGAGCAGCGTGCTGCAAGGCAGGGTTCGAGGGTCTCGTAAAGCAGGGCCTGGAAAGGGTCTGGTCAGGCCAGGAAGGCCTCGCAGACTGGCTGGAGGGGAAATTGGCGGGGCAGCGTGGGGCCAGAGAGGAAGGACACACAGGTAATCACAGGTACGAAGGGCGTGTGTGTGGTCCATGTACCTGTCGCTCATCCATCCCATACATATTAAATGAGCACCTGAGCAGGTGTAGTGCTGAGTGCCAGGCTGGGGTTACAGCCTGTGAGCCCATCCCAAGACCAGAGGGAAGCCCACGGGGTCCTGTCCCACTCACCCAGCCAGGCCGGGCCCGGGGCAGGGCCTTCCTGGAGGACTTTCTCCCCTCCATAAATCTGTGCTCAAGCGTCAGACTTGGGCCCCAGGTGCTGGGGCTGAGGGTCCCTCAGCATCTCTGTTCCATGAAGCTCTTCTGCTTGGCTTTTTTTCTTTCTTTCCTCTTTCCTTCTTTCTTCGAGACAGGGTTTCACTCTGTCACCCCGGCTGGGGTGCAGTGGCAATCATCATAGCCCATTGGAGCCTCCAACTCCTGGGCTCAAGGCATCTTCCAGCCTCAGACTCCTGAGCAGCTGGGACAGGTGCCCAACACCACACTAGTCAGCATTTATACTTTAAATGGAAATTAAAGGCCTGAGCACCCCTGAACCTCCCCCCAACAAGCCAGAACAATTCACAAGTGGGGGCCTACTCATCTGAGGTTGCCTGGGGCTGTATATGCACTGCAAGCTGTATGGCTTTTGCTGGCAGGGTGACAGGCAGCTCTTGGTGGGCTGGGGTCCCCACCCCTTCCCTGGGACATGCAACACAAAGCTGCCCTCCTGGTCTCCTTAAGCCCCCTGGACAGCCTCTGGGCACCTGTATCCCTGCCGCAAGAGAGGCTAACTCCATTCCCAGGGCCCAGCCCAGCACGCCTCACACCCTGTGCAGGGGAGGAGCTGGAAGCTGACAGGCTGCAGAGGTGCAGCCACCCAGGGCTTCAAGCTGGTTTTATGAAGGTGAAGAAGCTTCAATTGTTTCCCCACATTGGCAGGGTGGAGTGGGTCCTGGCCACGGGGACAGTGGCCTCCACAGGGTGCGTCTCACCTGACACCAAGACCACTTCCACAGCAGTGAAATCTAAAATCCATACAAACATTTATTCGGTCCCTGCCCAGGGGTTGGGGGAGGAGGGATATGGGAGCCCCACAGAAGAAGATGGGCTCCAAGGGAAGACAGTGTCCGAGGTCGCAGGCCCTGGGGCCTGGCTTGGTTCTGAGAGGTCGCAGAGGTCCAGGTGGGCGGGTGGTGGGCAGTTTGGAAGCCAGCTGCCTGAAGGCAGACCCAGCCCTCTGGGGCTCAGAGGTCCAGGCCCACACTGGGCCAGGATCTGGCTCATGCCCATCCCCCAGCCCCCAGCAGGGAAGGCAGCAGCGGGCCTGCGTCCCCCAGGGCGGGGGGAGACGGCCACTGTGCAAGTTGTCAGGTTTAAATTAAAAATAATAAAAATAACAATACAAAATAAAAAAAGACATTGCCTGTCTCAAACAAACCGAGACAACACACTGCCTGCCCACCCCCCCATGCCACATAAGGATGGGACTGGGACCTGGACGGGGGTGCTGGGAGGGGCTGGCGGGGACAGGCGGGGACAGTTGGGTGAGCAGCAGTCTCAGAGGGGCAGAGGTCTGGGGGAGGAGAGGAGGGACAGGTGAGAGGGGCCACGGCAGGGTCAGGCCTCCAGGATTGGTTGTTCTCTCGTGCCGCTGGCTCATCCCCGTCTCTCGGTTTGCCGTGTCTGGCGCGGTGGACAGGGTTAGCTCTCGAGATTTATTGCACTGTTTTGGAAGAGGCCTGGGGCTAAGGATGGGCCGGGGCGGCAGGAGAGGCGGGCAGGTGGCGGGCGGGCGGGAGTCATCGCTTGGTCTTGGTGTCTTCTCGGACCTTCCAGATCACCAGGTGCATGCAGGCGCCGGCGTCCTCACTGGAGCTGTGCCCATCCACTGTGGGACAGACATAGTCACCACCCTGCCCTGTCCCAGGGACAAGGGCCCCGTGCTGGAGCTGTGCCCATTTACTAGGGACAGACACGGTCACCGCCATGCCTGGCCCAGGGCCTGCACTCACCGTTGTCCTGGATGATCTGCCTGAGGTAGTCGGCCATGAGGTTCCGCAGGGACCGCTTGTACGGGAGGCCCAGGCGGTGGGGAAAGAGCACGGACGTGTCCACCACGGTGCTGTGGATGACCTAGGGTTGGCAGGTACTGCTTAGGGCAGAGTCAGGGCTGGACTGGGCAGCACTGTCACCAAGGCAAGGGGCCTGGGGCCATTTGGAAGCATGGTGGCCAGGAGCTACCTTCAAGGCCAGCAGGTCACTCTCCAGGCTGTGTCCAATGAGGATGGTGTCTGCGCTGAACATGCTCAGCAGGACAGCCTGGACGTCGCGCAGCGTGATGCTTGTGTCTGCGAGGTCGGCCTCTGTCACCCCTGAAAACCTGGCACAGGAGAGCAGGTGCCATCAGAGCCCAGCCCAGAAGGTGGGGCTGGTGGGGTGGTGAGGGGCTCTGGTGGCGGGGGTCCTAGCTCCCAGGGGCAGGGCCCAGGGCCGCACCTAGTGTTATAGTCGACGATCTCGTTGTCAGGCTTGACGAAGGTGTCATAAACCACCTGCATCTCTGTGTTGACCACTGTCACTCGGGTCAGCTCCAGGCCATACGTTGTGTAAGACTGGGGGTGGGAAGGGACAGGCTGAGACACTGCCTCAGACATACCCAGTCCCTCCAGACCTGCCAGCCCTGTGCATGGACCCCCTTCCCTGCCCTGGCACCCAAGGCCAAGAAGGGCCCAAGTCACGTGCTGAAGATAGGCCTCAGGTCCCCAGAATCTGGCAGAGCAGAGGCAGTAGCGCCCACTCACAGACATGGAAACTTTGAGGGAGGGTGGAACAGAGTATGAACTTAGGGGACTCCTCCCCAAAGCCCTCATTGCCCCCAAGCATAAGGGGGACTGAACTTGCAGGCCCAGCTCTCTGTCCCTCACCCTAACCCTGCAGGGGGCCCTCAGTCCCCAGGGCCACGAGCACCCAGTAAGAGCCGTCATTGCCTGGGAAACCGTGGTGGCTGGAATGAAGAGACAGATTCACCATTTCACAGTCCAGGGCGAAGATGCCTGGGTGGGCGTCTTCTGAGAGTTCCTTCTCGAACGTCTTCACGAAACCCTCGAGGCTTTCCTTCCGGCCGTCCTGTACGTGTTGCTGGGGAGGGGGTATGAGGGGCTGCATTCCGGGGTTGACGGGGGCACAGCTCTGTGCTCCCGGGGGGATGAGGGGGAATCATCCTATTCACTCATCCCCGTTTGTGGATGAGAAAATGAAGGCTTCAAGGGCCCGAGCTGGCAGGGAAGTCTGAGACTGGAGATTGCTGACATTGGGGGGGGGGGCCGTCTCCAAGGACCCAGGATGGGGAAGCAAGTGGCCCAAGGAGCAGGGCCATGAGGCCTGGGTGGGGCACATGCTCCAGGGAAGACGTGGGGAGGGCAGGCTGGAGCCCCGTGGCTGGCACCGAGTCTAGGACTGGCGTGTCCCAAGATACCATACCAACAAAGAGCAGGCAGAAGTTTGTCAAGACAGGGCAGAGAGGGGGCTGGGGCCCTGGGACTTACCTTTGCGACCTGACAGCCGAGAGCACCGGTGGCAGCCGAGCAGCACGTGTACTGGGTCTCCCAGCCTCCTGCCACTGCAAGAAAGATGCGGTCAGGGCCTGGCCCGGCCTGCTCCCACGCCCCTGCAGCGTGGACAGGTAGTGGGCCCCGGGACAGCTCAGCCCCGCCTCACCTCGGTTTCGGCGGAGCCGCCCCCAGTGGTAATAACACTCCTCGTCACGGACACAGCGGCCAGAGGAGGACACAAGGTACTCAGCACCACAGCGGCAGCAGATCCTGCAGGACGCTGTGGGACGGAGACCATCCAGGGAAAAAGAAGCATCAGGGCAACATGCAAGGCCCCCACAACCCCCACGCCGCCTGACCCCTGTACCCACCCACCCAGGCTGTTCCCTCTGCCCAGACACCCACCCTTCCCTGCACACACGCCCGTCGCCCAAGCACAACTGTGTGGGGAGGCCACTCACAGTCCTTGGGTTTCTTGTCCTCGGCTGTGAAGATGATGGCACCCCCCGGCCGCTCAGGGTGAGGGAAAGGGTAGCCATTCTCCTTGAGCTGGTCCTCGGAGAGCAAGTACTCCTTCAGGCGGCTGTACAGGGCGGCCCCTGCGGACACGCGTGGGAGGCAGTCAGCCTGCTGACTGGGACAGCCCCCAGCGCATGCGCCTCAGGGAAGAGGCTGTGCAGCCTCGAGGACCAGTGCAGGCTGCCAACTGCTGCCTCTGGTTCTAGGCTGCCTAGAAGGCAGGAAGGCAGGCTGGCGGGAAGGCAGGCTGGGTCGGGGCTCAGGAGAGGGAGGGCCCACCATGGACCGCCACGCTGCGCTTCCAGCACCGGCCAAGCCGGGCCTCACCTTTCAGGTCCTCCACTCGGGGGCTGCTGGAGCGGCTGAGCGAGAAGCTGGTCTTGGCAGCCAACTTGCCCCCCAACACCACCTCGTGGGACACGACCCTCCGGCTGCTGGTTTCTGGGGGGTGGGGAGGGGTGAACTAGACTGGCTCAGACCCCTTGCCCACCCAGCCCTGCCGAGACAGCTCCCCACTGCCCCATGGAGTCACGTCTCAACCAGAACAGGAGCAGCCCACTGGTGAGGGCCAAGCCACACTGGGGGACCCCCATGCACTCCCTGTGGGTGAAGCTTTCACCCCCTCAGATGGGAAGGGGGAAAGGCTGGGAGAGCTGGATGGTGAATCTAATTGCTTTGAGGGCTTTGTGCTGGCTGGGTCCGCTGGGCTGCAAGGCCCACTTGGGGCCCCTCTGAGCGCCAGCGAGCTGCTAATGGAGGCAGGGGCAGCCAGTGAGGCAGAGCTAGCGCTCTGGACGGGCACCAGCTGATGGCTTAATGCACTCTCTCGAGAGGCAGTAATGAAACGCCTTAACCCCGACTCTTTCTTCCTCCCTGGAGCTTAATGCACACAGCACGTGGGGCCCGAGCTGCTCACTTTGAAGAGGCCGCCAACAGCTCCATTAGCGGGCGGCCACTCAGCTCTCGAGGCCCCAGCTCGCAAACGAGGGTGGCTAATAGCGAGAAGAGGCCACTCGGAGGGTACCCAGGCCAACTCCACATGCGACAGAAGCCTGAGCTGGGGAGCCCATGCAGACCCCAGCCCACCCCTGGTTTCTGCAGTGCGTGCCTTTTGTCTGGGACTCTCACGGGGCTCAGGGCTGCAGAGAGGCCCCAGAGGGTCCCTGTGGGGGAGCCTGACACATTGGCAGGAGGTACAGGCTGGATCCTGTCTGTGCCCCACCCCAGCCCCTGCCCTGCAGTGACTCACTGTTGAGCCCAGGCACGGCGCTGGGGACCAGGCCTCGCAGCTTCTTAAGGGTGTTCACGGCCACATTCAGGTAGATGTTCTTGCTGGGGCTGCGGTCGTAGGCCACCTTCTCCTCATTCAGTGCCTGGGGAGGACACGTTGGCACTGGGAGCCCTGGCAGTGGGGTCACCAAGGGACCAGGGAGCTGCCAGGGCCGGGACACCTGCATCTCATACAGGCAGCCCTGGGGCTGAGACACCAGGGCCAGGTAGATGTCTGGTGGCCATCCCAGCCCCAGGAAACGGTGGCCAGCGGACCCCCTAGGCCCCCACCCCACCAACCAGACTGGCCCCAGGGCTCCCACCTTCTCCACGGCCTCCTGATTAGAGGCACAGAACTTCAGACACTCCTCGATGAACAGGTTAAGATAGCGCTGGCGGATGACGGTGGGGACTTTACCCCCAAATTCTTTTGGGATAATGGGTTTCTTTAAACTCTGGAAGAACATAAAACCAGCAGAGGGTGAGGCTCTGCCCAGTCCTCTACAGGTGGACACGCGACAGGAGGTGTTTCTCAGGCACACAGGGGAAGCCCTGCCGTGACCCAGGGCTGGAGCTGGTGCTGAGGTACGTGCTGGTGACGTATCAGTCTGCCAGCTAGGAAACAGGCGCCACACCAAGGTGAGATGTGGACAACAGGGGAAACTGAAGGCACAGGGGCAGGGGCATGTGGGAAGTTGTACTTTCTGTAAACCTAAAATGGCTCTAAAAAGTAAAATCAGGATAGCCTCGGTGGCTCACACCTGTAATCCCAGCACCCTGGGAGGCCAAGGTGGGAGGACTGCTTGAGCTCAGGAGTTCAAGACCAACCTGGGCAAGAGCAAGACCCCGTCTCTACTATATATAGAAAGAAATTAGCCAAAAAACCCCCAAAGAAAACCTAAAAATAGAAAAAAATTAGCTGGGCATAGTGGCAAATGCCTATAGTCCCAGCTACCTGGGAGGCTGAGGCAGGAGGATCCCCTGAACCCAGGAGTTTGAAGTTGCTGTGAGCTAGGCTGACACCACGGTGGTCTCAAAAAAAAAAAAAAAAAAGTAAAATCTATTAATTAAAAACAAAACAAGGGGCTGGGCGTGGTGGCTCATGCCTATAATCCTAGCACTTTGTGAGGACGAGGTGGGAGGATCACTCAAGGTCAGGAGTTCAAAAGCAGCCTGAGCAAGAATGAGACTCCATCTCTACTAAAAATAGAAAGAAATTAATTGGCTAACTAAAAATTTAAAGAAAAAAAATTTAAATAAATAAATAACAATAAAATAAAAACAAGAGCCAGGCGTGGTGGCTCACGCCTGTAATCCTAGCACTCTGGGAGGCTGAGGCGGGAGGATCAGTTGAGCTCAGGAGTTCGAGACCAGCCTGAGCAAGAGCAAGATCCTGTCTCTACTAAAAATAGAAGGAAATTAGCTGTTTTTAATTTTAAAATCTAAAATAAAATGAAATAAAATAAAAAGAAGAAAAAATAAAAAACCAACAGAGAAGAGGAAGAGGAAAGAGATGCAGACAGCACCAGTGCTTGTGGGGGGAGGAGCCTGAGGCTTTGTGCCTGGCCTGGGGGTGGGGGGTCACCTGTAAGGATGGGCTGTGAGCAACCCGCTTGGGGGTGACGGTGGTGGTGGTCTTGGACGCCATCCCAGAGAGTGTGCGTGTCTTCAGCGGCTGGCTGCCGGGCTCTGGGCCGTGGGAAGGCTGGCTGCTGCTAGCCGAGAGGGTCCTCTTGGCGCCTGTGGGGGCTGGCGGGGCACAGGGGGCGTGAGTGCAGGAAGAGAGAATGCCCATCACTGAGCTGCGGAGCACCAGGTAGCTGCGGTCGTTCAGGGTCAGCAGCACGTGCATCTCTGAGCGCAGGGGCACAGGCCGGGGCGTGGGGCTCGGGCTGTGGAATGACATTAGGCTCTATCTGCTTTCGGACAAGTCCATCCAGACGGGGGAACAAAATCAGGCTGCAGAGCCCGGCTCGGGCAACGTTGCCACCAGGGCAGTCCGGTGAGTGGCGAGGAGTATGGCGGGCCTCTGCCACATGTTCCAGCCCCGGCTCCGAGGCATTGACGTCTGAGGGGGGAAGGCCCTGGCTCCTGGGCAAAGGACCAGAGGGTATGGGACGCCCCCGGCCTGCGCATTGTGACCAGTGGCCTGCCCGTGCTGCCTGTGTTCTGCTGCTCCTTTGATGAGGTCACAAACAAATGATCTCCCACCTGGGGGGAGGAGGGCCAGTCTGCAGGGCTGTTTCCAGGGCTGGCCAAGTGGGGCAGCTGCACTCTGGTGTGCATGTCTGTAGGGGGCTCCCCGTGCCCCCCAGGGAGGAAGCGAGCTGCCTGCCACACTAGACACGAGCCTCAGGGAAGGAGGCAAGAAGCACTAGACAGGATCCTCCCAGCCCAGGTCAGTGTCCCCATCCCCAAGGTACCCCTGGTAGTGTGGGAATGCCAGACTTCCTCCAGGCTGTGGTACCCCACACCTGCGCTGTGACAACTCCACCACACGCCACTGGCTGTACACAGACAACCCCAAGTACAGAAGATACAGACTTGGGAAAGGGTGAGGTGTCTTGGACTGGACACAATGCAGTCATTTCCCTTCCCCTGCTGCCAAACCCCTGCTAAAATCTCCCCCACATCTCTGGTTGTCAAGTGGCTCTGGGTAGGGGAGGGCCAGAATCACCCAGAGGGCTCTTTTTCCTTAAAATTGGGTCTCACTCTGTTGCCCAGGCTGGAGTGCAGTGGCGTCATCACAGCTCACTGCAGCCTCCAACTCCTGGGCTCAAGCGGGAGCCCAGCCTCAGCCTCCAGAGTAGCTGGGACTGGATTATAGCTGTAGGCCCATACCCGGCCATTGCCATGCCCAGCCCAGAGAGCTGAGACCAGAGGGCTGCAGGACAAGTGTCAGGAAAGGGAACGAGGAGCTTTGACCCGGCTACTCCAGGGTAGTCTCTGAACCAGCAGCAAGGACCTTCCCGGCGCTAGTTAGATCTGGGACACTCTCTGCAGCCCCACACCAGCAACTGCGCTGTCAAAGCCCCCCAGGTGATTCTCACCTATAACCTACCAGGCAAAAGACAGGACCACACCCCACTGCATGTCCCTACTGTAAAGGTGTGGCGGGACTTCCAGACCAATAAGGCCAAGGCGGGATGTGGCCTCAGAGTACAGGAAATACAGCCCCACCCCAGGGCACATCAGCTGGATGATTCCATCAGAGGCCACGCCCACTCATACCCTCCCAGCCAGAAGCCACACCTGGGCTGGGGCCTGGCCCCCCTGCCCTGCCCACCCTGGGCTCACGCCAGCTGCCGATGCTCAGAGCAGCCCCTCCGGCAACTCAGTGGTTGGAAGAGGTCAGAAGCAGCTGAGGAAAGACAGCCCAGCGGCCTGCTGGGACTCACCTGTGGCCAGGCGGGGGTTGGGGATGTGAGCGATCCTCTTCTTCTCGCCGGGTGCGGAGATGTGGACTGAGGCAGGCTTCTCCGCCAGCTTGGGGGTGGCCTGCAGCCAGCTGGCCGACTCCCTCTGCGCCTGCTGAGCCCGCAGGTAGCACACCTCCTGGGCAGTCGGGGGCCGAGCGGGGGGCACTGCTGGACCTCTCCTCGGGAGCTCTGCCTGGATGATACCGGCTTGTCTGCATGTCTGGCACAACCAGAGCATGTAGCCCTGTGTGGAGGACTTGGGGGGCTCCCGGAGGGCTGGGGGGGGCGCCTCTCTCGTCACCTCCTGAACTCCAGGATGCCCTGGCGGGAACCAGCACGGTGCTGTGGCCCTCAAACTCATGCCGCCTTCTCTCCTGGAATGCCTATCTGGCCGCCACTCTGCCGACCCCTGCCTTCTGAGTGCTCAGGCTGCATTCTGGGCCTTGATATAAGCACGGGGTGGGTGGGACAGTCCCGCCTTGATTGGGTTGGCACTTCAATCCTTTCTCACCTAAATAATCCGCCAAATCCAGATTCTGAATCCCCTGCTCCCTGGCAGGGTCTGGTGATAGGATTAGCTGGGACTCCTGGCTGCTAACCTCAGAACCAGGTCCTCTACTCTTCCTGTGCTAACTCACGGTCACCGACAGCAGCCCCACAACCACTGCTGTCTCTGGACCACAGGGGGAAACTGAGGCTGAGAGGTTGGGCAGCTTGGCCAGGCCCATACAGCACACCCGGAACCAGGACCTTGGCCTGGCAGCCTGCTGTGCACTGGAGGCATAGCAGGCTGTGCAGGGTGGTTCTGGGGAGGGACAATGTGAGGGCGGGAAGTGGGCAGGACCTGCTTCTCCCCCAGGACACAGCAGTGCTGAACCTGAGGAGTCTTCAAAAAGTTCATGGAAAACGCATGTTATGAAAAAACTATTCACGAGTTTCAAAATTATTTTGCACCCAAATAAACTCGTACTAACTTGTTATAACATATCGGAACTGGATCTAGCCCGAGGCACTATGGAGAATAAGACATTGGTTTGAAAAGAACCCCTGACAGAGCAATGTGAGTTCTGCTAAAATTGAAGCAAAAACGAACACTGAATTTATGGTGAAGCTGGGTGGGAGAAGGGTGAAATCACAGATGCTTTACCAAAAACTTAGGGAGACAATGCCCCAAAGAAATCAGTAGTTTACAAATAGATGACTTGTTTAAGAAAGGACACGGCTGGGTTGGGTGTGGCAGCTCACACCTGTAATCCCAGCACTTTGGGAGACTGAGGCAGGAGGATCGCTTGAGCCTGGGGTCTTAGGTTGCAGTGAGCTGTGATGATGCCACTACACCCCAGCTGGGGCCACAGAGCGAAGCCACGTCTCAGAAAAAAAAAAAAAAAAGATGAGACCGAAACCACGTGGAAGATGGAGATCACAGCTGCTTTTTTTTTTTTTGAGACAGTCTCGCTTTGTTGCCTAGGCTAGAGTGAGTGCCATGGCGTCAGCCTAGCTCACAGCAACCTCAAACTCCTGGGCTCAAACAATCCTTCTGTCTCAGCCTCCCAAGTAGCTGGGACTACAGGCATGAGCCACCATGCCCGGCTAATTTTTTCTATATATATTAGTTGGCCAATTAATTTCTTTCTATTTATAGTAGAGACGGGGTCTCGCTCTTGCTCAGGCTGGTTTCGAACTCCTGACCTCGAGCAATCCGCCCGCCTCAGCCTCCCAGAGTGCTAGGATTACAGGCGTGAGCCACCGCGCCCGGCACACAGCTGCTTTTTTGAGAAAAATGAATCTTGTTCAGGCCCTAACCAAGGGACTGACAACTGACAGCGTAAACAGTCGACCCCGCAGACAGCGCCATGGGCTCAATGTGCGCAATCCTGACAGGGAGATGAAAGTCAAGCAAACATCCCACTCGGTGGGTGCCAAAACCACCGTGCCCAGATGAGCTACAGATGAGAGCAGACCTTTCCACAGAAATTTTAAATAAGTGGGACCAAGATCCTGAGGCAATTCTTCTGAGTGCTGTCACAAGAGATGGAACCTGGCTGTCACAGAGCCACCTTGAAGACAAAGCACAAAGCCACAAAGTGACGGCGACCCAGGGGCAGCCACAGTGCAGCTGGAGAAGCAGACCGGTGGAAGCGGAGGTCCCGTCATTTGGGGATGCCCAAGCGTTCTGCTTGTTGACTTTCTGGGGTGCTGGAGCGCATGCCATCGGCTGGCTGGGAGAGGACTGAGAAAGTCAGACACGTGAGCAGGAGTGCTTGGGAAAGCCTCAGGGGCCTCCCCACTCCGCTCATCAAACAAGATGATTTTGCAAGAGTTCCGATGGCCAATCACCAGGCGTCCCTCCCCCACAGACCTGAAGTGCTCCTTCTGACTTTTTGTGTCCTAACCTTTAAAAACATCCTTAAACGGCACCTGTTTCTTTTCAGTTGACAATGTAACAAAGACTGCACTGATGTGGTCAAATTCCCAGGACCTTCCATTCTTTTGGGATTGGACCACATGGCTGGTGTCATCCCATACCATAGTGTCTGGATACCATGCTGAAGAATAAAGTTTACATTTTTATTTTTATCTTTAGAGTGCGTTTTTCCACGAACTTTTTGAAATCTCCTTGAACGAGTTTACCGGATGATTCCACCAGCAAACAGGCAAGAGGACCTTGTGTGTGCAGGAGGGGGCAGGGCAGATGGGGCCCCAGCCCCCCAACCTATGCCCCGCCAGCCCTCACAGGCCCTTACCTCTTTGCCTTGCCTGGAGAGATGAGAGATCCGCCTCTTCTGCCCAGGGAACAGGGTGGTCAGACCCGAGTGCGCCTTCTCCTCACTGCTTTCTTCCTTGGGGGGCTACAACACACATCCCTTTCTCAAAGTGGGTCTCCTCTGTGCTTCACCAGCCCCCAGCACTAACACACACCCTCCGTCCCTCCATGCTGGCCTCAAACTGCCCACTGGTGAGTGGAGAACGGAACATTGCAGACCCCAAGACACGGGCGCTGAAGCAGTAAGGGGCCAACCCAGTCTTACAGATGAGGACACCCAGACCAGCACTCCATGGCCCCTCCCAGGCTTGAGAGTTCTGCCCATGTGCCCAGGGCCCTCAATGGGAGGCCAGGGAGCTGAGCGCTCTCAACACTCAGGCGGGGGCCTGGCCTGCCAGGCGGTTACTTTGAGGCGAGCTCCCTCTGGTGGCTGACATAGGGACACCGGACAAGGACACCAGCCCAGTCAAGGCTGGCCGGGGAAAGCCAGAGTTCCGACTGACCAGGGGGAGCTGGGGAGGGAGGGGAGAGGGGAGGGAACCTGGAGGGAGGCTGGAGGGGGTTGGGGCAGTGAGGGTCTCAGAGGAAGGGAGGCTGGGGAGCGGGTGGGGGCCTGATACCCCTTTGCCGGTCAGTCGGAACGGGTCGGTCTGAGCGCTGCGGCGGGAGCCCGGCTGGGCGGCTGTGAGCCAGCGTCCTCTTTCTGGACGGGTGCAGGGCGGCGGGCGGCCGCCGAGGGCTCCTGAGTTTTAAGCGAGTTAAGGGGCCAACACTGAAGGCGAAGTCTCCACCCAGAGAGAGACGTGGAGTCATCTGGGAACAGGTCCAGGACAGGATGCCCTGTGCCCGGGCCCTGGCCACGGCAGCCTGCCCTGGAGCCCAGCCTGGACGCCCGGCGCCCTCACCTGCCGGGCCAGCCGGCCCTTGTCCTCGGTCTTGACGCTGGTGGACTCGTTGAAGATCCGAAGGCACTCCTCCATGGGGTCCGAGTCGAAGTCTACCTCCTGCTCCAGGGCCGTGTAGTCTACCTCCTCCTCCACGCCCTCCCCAGTGCCTGAGGAGGAGGAGGAGGAGGAGGACCGGGCGGGGGAGGCGGGCAGGGAGGCCTTGAGCTGCTTGGGCAGCTCCTGCGGCTCTGAGAAGCCCAGGCTGGAGTCTGAGTCCGAGTCCGAGTCGGAGCTGAGGCTGGGCAGGGCAGGGGCCCAGACCCTTGGCGCCCCCGGACTGGCAGCCTCATCCTCACTCTCGTCCCCAAAGAGGTCAGCGTGGCTCAGGGCCCGCTTCTTCAGCTTGGGGGCATCCTGGGAGGCGCCCTCATCCAACGAGCGGGCCTTGCGCTCCACTAGCTTCCCCGACAGAGCCTTCCCACCGCCCTTCCTCTGTGGCAGCTGGTGGGGGCCGGGGGCAGCTTTGCCAGTTGCCGGACAGGAGTCCTGAGGCTGGGAGTCCCCACTGGAGGGGCTTAGCCATCGCCCTGGCCGGTCAGGCTTCCCTTTCCCTGAGCTGGCCACCGTGGTGGCCAAAGATGGCTTTTTCTTGGTCCCTTCTGGCCGTCCTGCCTCATGCCTTGGGCTGCTGGCCTGCAGGCCCTTCTTGTCCATTGAGCCCTTCTCCCTGGGCCGCCCTCGGCCTTTGTCCTTGGTCTTGTCTTTCTTCCGGGCACCATCCTTGTGGCCATGGGCTGCTGGGGTCCCGCTCTTCTTCCTCTTAGGTTTTCCCTCCTGGGGACAGCCCCGATCCTGTGAGGCCCTGGCTGGAGAGGTGGACTTGGCTGGGGGTGCCCCCCCTGGGCTCTTCGGGGGTGGCCCAAGGTCCCCCACGTCACACTGCACAGCCGTCTCCTTGGTCTCCCGAAGGCCACCCCCCTCAGCCTCCAGGCCCTCCTTGCAGGACAGCTGCTGGGGGGCCTTGCTCTCCGGGCCAGCACCAGCTTTGGAGGGGCTGGCCGGGGCAGGCCCCTCACCTGGAGCCATGGCGGCATCATCTTCTGAGTCGGAGAACCTGGCGTCACAGCCACTAAAGGGATCACAGGGCTTCTTGAGGGCGGGCGTGTAGGGCTCACTGCCACGGGAGCCCCTAGGCCGCTTGGTGGCCCTCTCATCCCTGGAGCTGGCCCTGCTGAGGTGCCGGGCCGAGTAGTTGGAGAGTGGGTCATACTCCAGGTCGGTGGATGGCTTGGAATTGTCCACCACGTACTTGCCGCTGGGGACGGGGCGGCTGTGCCGTTGGGGCTGGCTCACGGCCTTGGGCACGTATTCCAGGGCACCACAGCCCCCTGCGCCTCGGCCCAGGCCCCTCTCCAGGGACACCAGCGAGTACTTGCTGCCTGGCTCAGCGGGGGCGGCCAGTGGGGTGGGCTGGTAGCTGGCGTCGGGGTTTAACAGGCCGCGGCCGCTGGGGTTGTAGTCGAAGGCCAGCGGGAAGGCGTCCTCGTCCAGGCCCTCAGTGGGGCTGGCAGTGGGGCCATGGGACACCAGGGCCGGTGCCTCGCTGGAGCTGTACTCCCGGGCCGTCTCCAGCAGCTCCACCTCGCTGCGCACGGCCTCAATGGCCTGGTTGACCCGCTCCAGCTCCAGCACGTCCGAGCGTGGCTCATCCCCACGGCCCAGGACACCATTCTCCCTCTGTTCAGGGGGCTTGGGCAGCTCGGGGTTGTAGGGGTCATAACACAGCCCTGAAAGGGAAGAGGAGAAAACAGGCAGTGAGCAGCCCGAGAAGCCTGCAGTGTGGGGACACCCACATTCTAACCACGGAGCCTGTGGATGCGCGTCACCTTCGACGGCAAAAGCGACCCTGTGGATGGGATTAAGCCTCCCTTGCTGATGGCCACGGACCGATGGAGCTTTCTGGAGGGGAGATTTGTACCAATATCAAGCAATTCCAATGTCATGACCCTCAGACTCAGGATTCTAAGAACCCACTCTCCAGACGTCCCCATCTCTGCTGCAGCACTCGGAGCTAAACTGTAATAACAACAAAGGAAATGCTCTAAAAACCCAAATGCAGGTCAACTGGGTTGGAGGGACGGCATGCCTCAAGACCTTCTCCATGCCCCACAGCTACACAGGAAACAAGAAGCCAGCGAGGTGGGGGTGTCGGAGAACACGCACTGCACCTTCTCATCTGAGAAGCGTCCCCATAAATGCCATGAAATCAGTGATTCGAACCTGGGTCTGGCCAGGTCCACACACAACCAAGCCAAGGTTCTCGCCCCAGAGCAGAGGGCCCCTTTGGGCAGCGACTACAATCCTGTCCTAATATGCAATATACACAATGCCAACAGCCATGTGGGATTCCAAATGCGGACAGACACACACTCAGGGACTGGCAGAGGAGCAGCCGGACAGGACGTGAAACCATGTAGCCAAATGCAAACAGCGGTCGCCTGTGAATCTGCCAGCACCAAGACACGACCCCGTTTCAACCTGATAGTTCCAACTTGATTCTGGATTAGAATGTGCATGTTATCTCCGTATTTACTGTCACGTGTGTGTGGTCTGTTTGCAAAACCTGTGAGCCCTCTGGCCCACGGCAACCCCCCTTCTAGGGCCTAGAGACCAGCCCCAAGTGTGCTCAGACATCTGTGCACAGAAATGGTTAGATGTAGGGCCAGAGAGGCATGTATGAGGCTCCTGTATTGTTTGAGAACAGCAACAAGACAGGAGACTTCCTCCAGGTACACGCCCAGTGTCTTCACAGGAGGGCGCGGGAGGGTGGGAGGCAGAGAGACTGGAAGACTCTGCGCTGCTGGCTCTGAAGGGGGAGGAAGGGCCCCAGGCAGAGGGACACAGGCAGCTGGCTAGACACTAGGAAAGGCAGGAGAAGGGTTCTCCCCTGGAGCCCTAAGAGGGACCGGCCCAGTGAGACCATGACAGACTCTGACCCCAGAACTGTAAGGGAATACATGTGCTGTCTTAACACACATTTGCCACAAGCCAGTTGGTGGCAATTAGCTAGAGCACCTGCAGGAAACTCAAGCAGCATCAGGCAGTGACTAAAGACATGACGCAGATCTGGCCGCCCTTCCACGAGGAGGCAGGATGGACCTTCCTGTTCCTGGCATGTGTGGAAGGGGACCCTGCAGGTTCAGTGCTTGGGCCTGGGGGTCCAGAGCAGGGGGAGGAGTCCATTGTGGGCCTGCTGTTTTGCTCTTAGCTTGAAACCATGTGAGTGCTGTACCCACTTCTAAAGTTATGTTCAGAAAGGGGAAAGGAAGTGTGTGTCTGTGCTATGGACCACTGGGAACCCCACAGGACTGCGTGGGCTACACTGCGGGGACAGGGAGGTGGGGACCACACAGCAATAGCGATAGTGACAGTGCCAGCGGTGGGGGCTCTCCTTCACACAGCACAGGCCAGGACAGTCATCTCAGCAGGGCTGCAGGTGGACTGGGGAAGCTAAGACTCTGACAGGGCTGGGAGCAAGGAGTGCAGCCCTCCCGCCTCTCCTGGGGAGGGATAGCTCCAGGTCAGGAAGGCGCTGCAGGCGGGACAAGGGCTCCCCTCACAGCCGCCCACTGGGAGGGGCCCAGACCACTCCACCCCACCCCCCAAGCTCCCAGAAATCCAGGCTACCCAGTGCAGGGGAGGGGCCGGGCCAAGGCCACCTGGCCAGTGAACTGGAGAGACGCGTGGGGGGCCCTTACTGGGCACATCCACCGAGGGGGGACAAGGCCGGGTCAGGGACGTGGGTGTCACACAGCCACTGGCTTTCCAAGGCTGCAGCTAACACAGCCTCTGCGCTCACACCCTGCAGCAGAGGGCGAGGGCTGGGGAAGGGCCCAACCCATGGGCCGCAGGCTACAGCGAGATCTGAGGGT